AAAACCGCAAAGAATGACCCACCGCCACCGTTCGTATACCACCGAATTCTCTCTATTTTTTTATTCTACACATGTCACAACCCTGACACCTATACATTTCATATTATATGCTGACTAATTCGGGCATGCTCCGGCGATGAGCGACGGCGATTACGAGCACATGTTCTTCTGCCGCACGGTTACGAAAACAAAACCTTATTTTTTTAAACACCTTTAAATCCCTCTTCCTTTTTTCCTTGTTTCTTTTTTGGTGGGGGGGTGGGGGTGAAAAAAAAAAATAAATAAAAAAAAAAAAAAAAAAGAAAGAAAAAGACGTCGCCCGGACAGCCCAGATCACGCATATGACTCTGGCCGCGGAAGCCTACGACTTCATTTAACTGGATTCATTCACTTCCTCCTTACCAGGGCTCTGTGGTAGTAAGAGTTTTATGCCGAAGATTTGCTGTTTTTACTTTCTCACTACGGTTTAGAAAGAAAGTTGCGTTACGCGGAAAAAGGGTTAATTTTCGACAGAAAAACTCTTGTTACAAGGCCTCAGTAACGAAAGTTGATAAATCCAGTTATTAAATTTAAAAAAAATATTCACTATCACGAGGTGTAGTCAGAATCCATATTTTGGAGGACCTTGATACCGAAAAATCGGCGGTCTGTATGTTCGTACATCTGTCTGTCCGACTGTGAACAACGCTAGCGACATAACCGTTCAGCCGACTTTCTCCAAAACTGATATTCCCAATAGATCAGGCTCATGTCTCGGCCCCTTGAATTTGAAACCGATATTTTCATTTTGGGGGGAAGTTTACATGAAGCCCTTAGGACATTTTCAAAATTAAAAACAAATGGCTCCATCGTTTTTTATTAAATTGTATTATTGGATAGTGTGAAGAACGCTTTAGAGAATAGTGTAGGTGTCATGTTCGTTAAGAACTCTTATTTTTAGAAAATGGCAAAAGTTCAATTTTTTCGGTGTCTGCCTGCAACTAAATATTAAAGATAGAGATTTTTTCCCTTCAATGAAATCAGTTCCTTAAAGATAGATTTTGAAATAAGGTCATGTATAATTTTTCGAAAATTTGAGTACTTTTTGCGTTATTTTGCCTGAAAATACGGGCGAGAAAGTACGTGCTATTTTAGCACCAGTTTCGCACTGCATTACACAACTTTCTACTGTGTAAGCGGTAACCAGAAAGTAAAATGGGACGAAGCAAAATTTTTTGGACATTTCATTAAAAAGTACAGCAAAACCCTTCTTTTACACTTTCCATGTTATCGAGTAAAAATATTATAAATTGGAGGGCCTTTTATAGGTGGGAAAGAACATTGCGTGTATACGTTCGTAGCCTTCTGTGGCCGGAGTCAATGCATTCTTGGCTATCCGGGATGAGCCGTGTCTCAGTCAATTGTGCTGACGTTTCGGTCAGCTTGCTGTGGCCTTCTACTTTCGGCGTCCCCACAAATATTTTCGGGACAACGGGAGATTGTAATTAATGTGATGGCCACATATATTTCTCAATGTGGATTTTTGTGTACATGCGATCAAGAGAGCACGAGAGAGCGCGCAAGAGCGAGCGAGCGAGCGAGAGAAAGCGAGCGAGCGAGAGCGAGAAACAAAATGTTTGGCATCACTTTCCAAGTATAAAATCAAATTTAGATTTGTTCCCTCCCTTAAGAAAAAATCAGTATTGAACAACAGAGTACATTATATTATTAGAGCCCCAATGAAGACCACTCCAGGCCCCTGAAAGGCTTAATCTGGTCTTGCTTGAATTTGTTTGTATGTGAGTGAATGTACAAGCATGTGAGCACCTTAAGTTAGAATGTTAAAACTTGTTTGCAGTTTTGAGACTTTCAAAATCACAGTTATTAAAATAATTGTATTCTTCTTTTATTTTGGTTAATTTCAGTGAAAAAAATTAAATAACACATGTAAATATGAGCACTTCCACATAATATATGCATTGTTAATAATATATTAATAGAATATTTAAGACAAACTAACCAGTCTGTAATTGTTCTTGTAATGAATGGATTTCCTCTTGTAAAGTAATAATTTTATCGTCAATTTCTGAAAAAGATTCTTCAATTTTACGTTCTCTTTCTGCTAATGATTCCTGTAATCTCTTATTACTATTAGTGTGTCTGATCAGTGCTTGAAATATTTCCTTTAAATCATATTTTATTGCATCAGACCACCTTGACATTGCTCCCCACTGGGTAATGTGAAATATTTCTCCTTTCATATTGTCTCTACACAGTAGTCAAAATTAGTAAACTAGGCACATGACACAAGATATTAAAAATAGTTTTAGCACACATTTCAGTTAATGTTTATTGCCTACCTTGCATGAGCGAGTATTGAATGTATTTCATGTTCTGAACATTGCTCTTGTACTTCATGTATTATAAATTTAATTACTTCTTCAGACATACAGCAACATTCACATTTAGAGAGAGAAAATATCTCCGTTTGGGTGTTTCTGTTGAAAAAATTTGACTGATGGTATGTGGGTGTTGGTTCTGATATGCTCTGTGATAAAATTGCTCCTAAACTTAGAGTTACATTTTGTGAGCTATTTCCATCATTACCATTAGCTTTCTCAACCTACAAAGCAATAAAAGAAAAACTTTTCTTCTCGTTTTGAAAAAGAACGCATATTATTAATGTGATAAAAATAAAAAGGTACAAATTGTACAATCACACATTCAATCACAACAATTTGTATTGTAATCCTCCATTTAAACCATCAGAAATTAATATAAAATTCAATGTCACAATTACTTGGTGTCAGATTCAAGACCAGAGGTGGGATTTCAGATCATCTATTGGGACGTAAAGGGTCCCCAAGATGGTAAAATGTTCCCCTAAACTAAACAGCAATAAAATAACAAAAAATTCATTTTTATTGTCTTAAAACCCAGCAACACACTTGAAAACATCTCAAATGTTCTTCTTAAAAAACAAAACGTGATTTATTTTTCAATTTTTTTCAATTGCTGAGCCTGTAGTTAAAAATAAAAAAAATATTTTTACCATTTTAAATATGATACGCTTTGAAAATGCCTGCAACAATTCTGTGCATTTATTTGAGTGTGTATTATACATTTATAATGAAAATTGTTCTGTTGTCCAAAAAGCAATGAAACCTTTTTAATAATGGTACCAACATTATGATTAAAACAACAGATTCGCTTTTATAGTAACAGGAAATGGAAATTACACTAATAACATTGAACATAACAGAAAATATTCAATGGAGATAACCGGTTCACTTTTTTCACATTTGGCATCAAACAAATATCTTGCACTCATTACAATATATCTTACACATTATAATGGAAAAAAAATACTACTTACAAAATATAATATAATAAACAGTTTTACTCAATATCATTTGTATATTATCACTTCCTCTCTTTTTCAAAAATTGTAAACGGAAGGATTTTGGTCTCTTATGGTCTCTCTGTATGTTCATACTAGAACTGCCAGATCACAGGAAAGTCAGTCACTCTGTGACTTTTTTGATGTTTCACAGAATTGGCAAATTTCTTCATTCCATTCATTAAAGATCCATTAAAGAAAATCGTTTTACATGGACAACGACCTACAGTTTTCCGCTCACTGACTACGCTTGCATGGAGTACAAGTAATGCTGGACAACACATGCTTCTTATCGCATCGCGGACCCACGAACAATGTTCATGAGAAACGCCTATTTTTTGGCACTCGAATTATAAACTAGGGGTGCTACAGAATGGCACCGACTCTCCAATATTAGTTTTCTTATTCCTTTGGTCTCGGTTAGCTCTTCGAACTAGCCACATATTCTTGCCTGCTGCCATCTATTGCCGCCCAAAGAACATTTTTTTGAACTTTCCTTAATGTTTCGGTTTCCTAATTATAGAGCGAAAATATTATTTTAAGATAATTAAAGAGCAGAAAAAACCCGCAGAAAGAGCAGAAAAATTATACAATGCTTGTTACAGATATATTAAGTTATTACATAGGAGATAATTATTATTAGCAGCAAATAGTTAAACATTTGACTTACTTTAATTTAATTTAAAATATTTTAATATTTCAAGATTTATACCATTTCATTTTTAGAATATTATTTTCTTAATATAGTGATTTTACTGCTACTACTTTACTACTACTACTAATAATAATAATAATACTAATACTAATAATAATAATAATAATAAGAAGAAGAAGAAGAAGAAGAGGAAGAAGAAGAGGAAGAAGAAGAGGAGGAGGAAGAGGAAGAAGAAGAGGAGGAAGAAGAAGAGGAGCAAGAAGAAGAGGAGCAAGAAGAAGAAGAGGAAGAAGAAGAGGAGGAAATAGAAGAGGAGGAAGAAGAAGAAGAGGAGGAGGAAGAAGAAGAAGAAGAGGAAGAAGAAGAAGAAGAGGAAGAAGAAGAGGAAGAAGAAGAAGAAGAGGAAGAAGAAGAGGAAGAAGACGATAATAATAATAATAAATATAATAGATAACATTACTTATAAAATAATAATAATAGTAATACTAACAGTACATGATGACAATTATGGTAACAACTACATATAGTTTAACAGTATTAGTATATTCCTTGATAAAATCTTGAAATGGGGAGGAGGCAGGTTACGGGAAGATTTTTTCGTATTTCTATACCTAGTCCCACTGCAGCACCTGAAATCACATTGCACATGTAGCATTGAGGTATTCCTGAATGCTATAAAAAAGTTATCCCCAAGGAAGTGTTTAAGTTTTTTTTTTTGAAGTTGTATGTATTGGGGGGTACATTGGGGGGTGGGGGGCAATTGCTCTCCTCCCCTCTGAATACCACCTCTGTTCCAGACCATATCATATTATGATATTAATTATCTTCGTGAGTTTTCAATAAATTTGAAAATATCAGGATACATACCACAAAATCCAGAAAGTATTTTTGTAATAACTGAAATCTAATCCACAGCATGTTCAGCAAAGCTCCAGTGGACAAATATTCAGGACTTACTACATTCCGAGGTAAATGATATGTGTGAGGCAATACAGGAAAGATATCTAAATATTTGATAACCAAATGAAGAAAGTATTGGAATCTATAAAATAAACAAAAACATATTTCACAAAATTATTGATTGAAGACGTGGCATCAAAATTTCTTCATTTATTTATAATTTATTTTTCAGATATGGTGTGTATTTGAGAGGACTCCTATGTAATCCAAAATCTTTTTAATAAGTCATTTCCTTCAATAATTTGATGCTAGTGACACACATGATTGAAGAAATTCTTTAAATACAAACATATTAGGAAACACTCAGATAAAAAAGTTAATCTTCCATTCTAATTTGCAAAACAGGTAACTAAATTTGTACTGAGTAAAAGTTTCTCTACATTGCAGAATCTTCACATTAAGGACATGAAGGGTATGTTCATTGGTAACTCACCTGTCATACATCAACTCAAGAACCAACAAATAGCATTCATAAGCTGAACCATTGAATTCACTTAGTATGGAATTAATATAAATGCAATGACACATTTTCGGAGGATAACGCCATGACATTGTTTCTGGATTAAGGACGTGTTTGCGTAACTCATTACATATTTTCTCCAAACTTCTTAAATCTTGCACAACAGAACGTATTATGGTTTTGTTCAATTTGGGCATGACACATAAGGAAATGAGAATAAACTCCGCAAGTGAAGCGTAAGTTTTTTCTTCAAATACTAATATATGGTTCGTTGCATCATTAATGTAATAAGCATTTCACAGATTGTAAATCGCCCCTACGTTCTAATCTTCTGTTCGGTAAGTCAAAACCCCGCGTTGATGTACATTTGTTTCTAACATCACATTAACCAACATCAAAACTAATCAGCAATGAAAGCCGTTTACAGTGTCTTGCGATTTATATATTTGAAATACCAATAACTAAAGGGAGTAACATTACTCCTTTCTGTACATTTGAATGACGAACACTGTAAAATAAAAATAATTGAATGTTGGCGCTTTACATTGTAAATTGGAGCAATGAAAATCTGAGATTATAACTAAAACTTCGGTGAAAGTTTGCAAGGGGTTGTCAACACTCGCCAGTTGTCACGAAGAACATGAGGGGGCGGCTAGTGAATGTTTGTTCTGCAATTGTGCGTTGTGCGTCAGCTAATCTCAGTGGTATGAAATGAATGATAATGACAGTGTAAACACGGTGCTCAGGTAATGAGAATAAGTCTGTTCCTAAGTCTTAAAATTTTCTGGGTTATATCTCTTGTCGGTGTTGTTGTGATTCGCTCCTTCGATTTATACGATCAAAAATGAGAAGTGTAAGGTGACAGTAATCTATTATGTACTGATTCAGCGTTGATGGTATACCGCATTGTGTTTACAGAAATAATCAGTTTATCGTATAGGTACTGATTTAATGCAAGTGATAAGTAGTGTGTACATGCATGGTGATTATAAACTGGGAATAGTGATATTTGAATTGCCCTGTTAATGAAAAATGTTTCTTACAGACGTAAGTACCAATATTGTGTAAATAGTATGCTGTGAAGCATTATATAAATATCATTTAATGTCTGTCTCTTAAGATTAAAGTTAATGGAGATGAAACATGTATCTATATAACCTAATTTTAAATTGGCTTTGTTGATATGACCAATTTCTTCAATATATCTCAAGCACTTTTCTTTCTAGGATAATTTATTGACCATGTCTGCAGTACCTAGTGGATTTGATTTTCCTTCTGAACTTTCCACAAAGCCATTTGCACTTATAGGCCTTACGGGTCTTGACACTCTTAACAATGCAATACATAGAACAATCTGGGATGCTTTTAGTAACAACAGAAGATCTGATCGAGCTCCAGTTCATTTTAAACTGCTTGGCCCTGCTCATGAATTTCCACCTCCCAAGGCCAAGGTAAGATGTATGTGAAATTTTAGCGTTATGAGAAGCACTTGTGTATGATAGAAATAACTTAAAGCTTAAAAAATAGCATGGGTCATTCTGAAATTAAAATTTATTTGCAAAATTGTTGTATTATTATTTTACCATTTTCTCAATAACTTCATTTCTGTAGAACACAGAAATTGTGGCCTCAGATCTAGTATTTAATTTTTTTTTATGCAAGATATGTTCATACAAATAAATTTAGTCTGAATTGCATGTAATTATTTTGACATTTCATTAAAAAGTACAGCAAAACCCTTCTTTTACACTTTCCATGTTATCGAGTAAAAATATAAATTGAAGGGCCTTTCATAGTTGGGAAAGAACATTGCGTGTATACGTTCATAGCCTTCTGTGGCCGGAGTCAATGCATTCTTGGCTATCCGGGATTAGCCGTGTCTCAGTCAATTGTGCTGACGTTTGTCATCTTGCTGTGGCCTTCTACTTTGTAGATCTGAATTATTCTCTATATTCTACCTTATAGCTCTGAAGAAGGCCACATCAAGATGGTTGAAACGTCAGTACAATTGACCGAGATGCGGCTCATCCCGGAGAGAGGTATTGTAGTGAGTTATTGATTGCATTTCTAATGAAATAATTATATGCGTCGTCCTTTCCAACCATATTATTTATTAAAAATGCATCTTTCAATGGCTTAGCCATCATCATCAGTTTTCTGCTGTATGGAAGCCACAAAAACAACTACGAAGGTTGGCATTACATCCACTCTCTATCAACTGTAGCTAGGGTCTTGGTAGGGAGCGGCTCCTTTTCCCTTACCATTTCCCCTCTCTCTCTAGTTCACCAGATCAGGATTCTACCAAAAAGTAACCTGGTTACTGCAGCCCTTCTCAGCTAGTTCCTTGGTTATCGCTTAGATGCTGCCATGATATAATTTAGATTTATTTAGTCCAAAAAGTCCAGTAAAAACTGTGTGACATATGGGGGAGAAGATTAACTGTGCACGTTTTCTTGAGTTCCAGAATCCCTTCCCATCGTTTTAATTATAAATAGTTGAAAGATGAGTAAAAGTTTTAAATAAATAAAATAAATTTTAAAAAAGCGCGAGTTTAGCAATATTTTAAACAAATAGACATTTTTGTTTCTGAGTTATAGAAAACTTATTTGCATTGGTAAACAAATTGCTAGTATGATTTTTCTGCATTGCTAAGAAAATAGTAACTCGTCCTTACCTCTACTAATACCATTACAAGCAAAAGGAGAGTTCATCAAAATGTGCGCATAGTGAAGCTACATTTACGTCCAGAAGCAAAACTAGGGGCCATCTCAGCATTTGCTCAATAGATCATGGAAACTGGACAAAAACCTGATTGAGATGGGGAATGATCCTTGGATCCTTGGCAGTATGATGGTTAATTATAGGATAGTGTAGGGAACGAACGATGAAATGAACGGGTGGACTGCATGTTGGAAATTGATATGCGAGTACCTTGAAAAAGCCTGCTTTAACTGACTTTGTTCATCACAAATTCCTCTTGGAACTACCGGGGATTGAACCAAGACATCAGCAGTGGAAGACATGTATCTGATCCCTATGCCATGGGCCACCCCACCCTGTGGTGTAATACTGAATTTGGAAGTGAAGTGAACCTTTGTGAAGTCGCATATCACATCAGTAGTGGTAAGAGTGGAGCTGGTGGTGTTTCTATTTTGCTAGCAATGTAAAAAAATCAAATCTGCAGTTTGTTTACTTATGCAAATAAAATTTCTACAACTCTGGAGAGGAATTGTTTTATTTTTCAATGTTTCTAATTTCATGCTGTTTGTTAATTTTATTTTTTATTATTATTATTGTTTAATTTATTTTATGTTTTAAATTTTTAACTTTCATTTGTCTTTCAACTATTTATAGTTAAAATGTTGGGAAGAAATTGGGGAGCTCAAGAATATGTGCACGGATGTTTTTTCTCCCCTACACATCACATAGTTTACACTGTTCTTTGAGTAAATAAATCAAAATCAATCAAATGCTTTCTGATGTGTGCAGTCAGGTAAAGTGTAAATGGCAGAAAAGTTTAATTTTGATAGCGTTAAAGAAGGGATAGTAAAAATATGCAATTGATGAGACCTAGGAATGTCATTGTCAATGACAGGAAGACATGAATTCCAGAAATGTAAATGCAAGATTTCATTGGAATTCATAAGATACCTCCAGTGGATTGAAAAACAAGGGAAATTGAAATTTGTTACACTTTAGGAGTTCTTTCTTTGGTACTGTCAGCCAGCAAGCATATGGTGCAGTAGTTGCCAAACACATGACTCTCTCATATCTGCAAGTTTATTTTTGAATACAATATAATTGTTGGAAAGCTTAATAATTGTTTGCAGTCTATGAAGCACTTATGTTTCATTCGAGTGTAAAGCACTGGGTAAAGTGGCTCTCACCTGAGTGATGCGATTCTTTTAAGAAAGTGGCTTGGTGGGGGCTGTGATAAATCCTACCAATTGACATGTCCTTATGGAAATATAGATGTCACCTAACTGTCAATCCCAGTGTCATCTTCTGCAGTATAGGAAATTCCTTTTTTCTCGTCTTTATTAAAAGGTGACTAAAAAATTGAATTTTTTATAAAATATGATGGTTTTTATTTCTCTGAATCGTTAATAGTTTCTTTCAAGTATATATAACACCGAAGAGTTTATAAACCATTAAACTACAATCAGATCAGCCTGCTCAAGCAGGGTCTTTCAGACACGGGTACCACAATGCATGTTACTTGAAAGGCTGTGAGTTAAAATTCTGGAAGGCTTTATTAGTGTTTCTCATGGCATAGCGGCTTTCTCACAGCAGCACCATGTTTGACACCCCCAGTATTCATCCACAACCTCACCTCGCATACAGTTTATGAGAGCTAAGGGGCACTCGGTGTATAAAGAAACAGAAGACTGGCCCAGAAGAGCCTTGGGCTACTTCACTTGGTAGAGAGGTATGGGGTGGAAATTGTTGCCCCTCCCAGTAGGATTAATTGAAAGGTCTATGGGTTGGAGAGGTATTTAATTTGAGGAACGGCACTTGATATCTCATCTAACCACAGAGAAGGGAGGTGATAATTGGGTTAGTTGTTGTTGGCCCCCCCAATTACAATTGATTTTTATATGTAATATAATATACCTAGTAATTTATTTTATGTTAAAAAGAAATTAATTACATTTCTCAAATCAGATATTCAAAATGTTGTTATAATTCTTTTTTTACAATTTTGCAGCGTAATACTTATGAATGGTACATTCCGAAAGGTATATTGAAACGTAATTGGATGAATAAACATTTAAATGAAATACCAGCTGTTGTAGCAATATTTTATGAGTTAGACTGGGAGGATCCACAATGGAATGAAAAGAGAATTGAATGTGCTTCTCGGGTTCAGTCAATGAGGTAATATTCACGATGATTTTTTTGAGTTTTTAATTCTTAAGTAGTGCTTATTACGTAGGTGTTACTAATACCAATAAATTTTACCTTGATTATTCATAAGGCAAGTAAGTCTTCAAAAAAATTAATTACGCCTTGTGAATAAAAAGATTTTTAATTCTGGAATACACATAAATATTAATAAGTTAACATAATATTAATGTTTGTTTATTTCATTTTATTTTCGCACTTTGTGGTTTTCTTTAGACATAATGCTAAATTTTTCATGAATTTTTCATGATATTTTTTTAGTTTTTCTCACCAAATTTATGAAATATTCATCTTAATGTGTATTTTTGAATACTATAATAGAAAACAACATGTTACAATTTCAAGCATTCATTAATTTCCTAATATATATTTTTAAATAATATTTAGGGTTGCCTTAGCGGGTCGTAATACCCGAATAGCAGTTGTTCTTATACAACAGACTGCACCATTGCCAACAGGAGAAGATATGACAGCAGCTGAACGCGCTACTGCGCTTTGTACAAGTTGTGAGTTAAATGCAAAAAGTTTATTTGTTTTGCCTCATGGTGATCATCTACATGGTTACACCGTCAGGTAATTAGAATAATATGATTTCAATATTACTTCTGAATGTGTTTGTATTGAATTATTATGAGTGAGAGAAACCAAGTATTTGGGCATGATGATAGATTTTAACTGAAAATGTAATGGCCATGTGCAAAAACTAATGGACAAGCTTAGTAATATGATATATAACAAACTACTCATCTTGTGTCATGTGTTATTGTGCTCAGGAGCTATGAATCTGATAATACAGTCAACTCTGGATATAGTAAAATAAAGTCATTGGTCCTATTTCACTTACATTACAAACAAGAATAAGAAGGTTTGGTTATCCTGACCCTGAACCTTAGCTATAGTGAATGTATTAAATAGATTGTCTTAGAAATTAATTCCCTTTCTGGAAAAGAATGTATCGTGTTAGTGCCATAAATTCCAGCACTAGGCCGTTTGAAAAAGCAGCACGCGAATGCCACAGCCTGCCTATATCCACTATGCCATGTGGAAAAACTATCAGTTTCACTAATTGATTGTGCCATCCCACTACTGAAAGCATGTCTTATGTTATTAGGCAAGTGAAAGCGCCTTTGAAAAGTGGGACAGTGTTCCAACAGTGCAAGATGCATTGAAGGATTTCAGACTGTATAATGATACTTAGACACAGAGGACAATGCAGAATCAAGTCTGGAGAGATCACAAATTCTAAAGAAGGGTCTAGAGAAATTACTAATGTAGAAAGCAAACAATTGCACGTAATTTGTTGTTTTTTTAAGGACGAAGATATTGAAATTTTTAGTTTATGGTGTTAATGTATTTCACTGTATTTCTATATTATTAAAATGTATCATTATGGAGAAGTTCTATTTAATTTTGACATTGAATATAATGAACCAAAAGTGTTCACTATAGGAGGAGCAGACTGAAGCTTGGTGAGGTACTCATAATTCTATTTGACAACCACTAAACAATTACAAAAAATTCTAAAAGTAATGCTTCACAAAAGTCAGTATTGTCTCTCTAAACAACTGTTTAGTGACAGTAATCTGCTTAACCTAAAATGATTTTTTCCAGAAAAGGCATTGCTGAAAAATTTCCATTAACTTCAAATTACCTATTTTCAAAAACCGACTACTATAACTGCTCTGTAGTAACTTCTAATAAAAAAAGAAGTAATTGCATAAAAAAAGAGAAACTACTAGTATTTAAATGTCAACATTTTTAACATTTACAATTTTGTAATTTCACTTGGCAAGGATATTAAATATCTTAGAAATTTGATAAAGAGTTTGTCAAATCAAACCATAGGCCTTCTTTCAATATGTATTCAGTGAAGAGTTTCTTTTGTGTTAGATTTAAGGTTTACATTTTATATATTTTGTAGAGGTTCATGAACAGTGTGTGCCTAATGCAAGTATAATTATTATAGTATAATTATGTTATAAATTCAATGAAAAATGTCTATTTTAAGTTAATAATTATCTGTTTATGTGTAATATTTTACTTTGTCTGATAATCTTTTTTTTTAGGTTAGAGAATGTATTTTACGATTTGGCTTTGAACTACTATCATCATGAGGCTCGTAATGTTAAAAGCCATAGAGATCAGTTGAATAAAACTACTCATCAGTATTTATTTGTACGACATCAGTTGAAAATTGGATTCTTGAATGAATTAAAACAAGACAGTCACACAGCTCAAAAGTATGTGGAACAAAAATTAAAATTTAATTTAGTAGACATCTGAAGACTCCATAAAACTTTAGTGTGAAGTCTTTTTCATTCAAGTATTGTTCTTGGTGTTGTGTATAGTTTTATCAATAAACTGTGCCACATACTATCTAGTCAGTTTACATGCATGTTTCACTAGTTAAAAATTATGTTGTAATAAATTTCTATTTAAATAAGCAAAAAGTATATTTTACACACGAGAATATTTGTCATTGACAAAATTGATTCATTAATATATGTATATTAGGTATATTAATATATGTATATTTTATTAGTACTTTCATTGTTTTTCTTTGAGCAGACATTATTTGCAAGCTTACAACAATTTGCTGGAAGTTCGAATTGTGGATACTAATAACTTGGAAGTCAAGACTGTCGCTGGATTTATCAATTACAAATTATGTAAACTGATGTTCCAACAAAATCTTCCTCGAGATGCCATAAATCAGTTTCGCCAGCACATTGAAGTGTTCCGAAATTGTATTGGACCTAAAGATTTGGCATTTGAACATTGTGCTTGGATGTCAAAACAGTATGAGATTCGTAATGTATTTTTATATTAAGTTACTACTTATTATTAAGAGCCAGCAGTGTAATATTAGTACCATGTTCCTTGGAGCAGTTGGGAATATTATTTTCAGTAATATTATTAGTTAACATTTTGATGAGAATATCAGGTAGTTCATTAATTAGAAAAAATTAATAATTACATAATTGAGAAACCAGAGCATATAGAAAAAAAGGGTAATGGCTCCAACTTTTTTCCATCAGTGGTAGTAGTCTGAACTAAAGGTGTAATGATCGCTTTGAGTTGATCAACATGGACAAATGCTTATTGTAAGCGTAATTATCATGAGATTGATCTTCAAATGGGCGGCAATGCTGCCTCTATTAAAGCTCAACACACAAGCGTGAAGAAGAATGGTACATCATGCCACAAGTCTATAAACTTAAACGTCCATCTCTATCCTAGCCATGTGCTGTACCAGTTCCATGTGTAACACTGAAGCGCACACACTTTCTGTTTTGCATTGTATGGAAAAACTACATATGCCAGTTAAATAGTAAACTATATTTTATAAATACTTTTTAATATTGTAAATAAGTATTTTATAAATATTTTGGTACTGATTAAGTAGATATGCCATGGCCTGGCCGCCCCTCTTGACTGCCTTAATGCTACCCCCATTTGCCTCTCGATCCATGGAAGGCTCCAGCACTTACTGTGGGTGGTATTGTCCCTGTTGAATCTATGATTTAGAGGAAATAATATTAGACTTCAAATTCTCAAGTAACAAAAATGATATTTCCTCTGCCCCTGGTCACAATTAACTGTAGGACGTAGTGATTAGTGTATTATGTATTAAAATTTAATGCAGTGATCTTGGAACATAGACGGATTGATTAAAATAATTGTCTTGTGCTAAATTAATAGTAATTTTTTTAAAAAATATTTATTCAAGGTCTGCTTTTATTTGTATGAAATGATATAAATGTTGGTACATTTGTATATCTTATGATTCATTATATTACTTACAATAAAATAGTTAAAAAAATAAAAAAAAATTTAATTTAATATTAATTATAGAAGTTTTGAGATTATATGTTTTTCCTCCACAAATTTTAATTTTTTTTCCTTTTTTTATAGGTTTAGTGTCTTTGGTGATATTTTTGATGAAGCTATTAGACAAGGTCTACCAGCTCTGCAAACTCAACATCCAGGTTTCTATTATCAGCAAGCAGCTCAGAATGCCATTGAAAGGAAAACTTGTTGTCAAGAATTGTGTAAGGTAAGAATTTTGAAAATTTGCATCTATTTTATTCACTTGCTTTCAAAAAGCACTTCATCAAATGATTATTGCATTGTAGTAAAGTTATAGCATAAAGTGTAGTTGTTGGTTTTTTGTGAATTTTTCAACCAATTAAATATTTTGTCTGTTACCTTTTGACATTGATGAAACCATTATAGTAAAAGTTAAATTTTAGTCTTTTTAGATGATATCTTGTTATTAATTGAAGTGAAATTTTAAATCAAGTTAATTACACTAATTTCTTTCAGTGATCCAAATTATTGTTAATTGTTCTGTAATAGCAGTAATATTTGAAATAAAGATTGTACTTCCTGACAACCAGTTATTTACTGTTCGGTTCAGAGTTCTCCGGCCCTGTGAGAGGGGTCTACGTTTCTCCGCAGGGAGGAGGGAGCGCGATAAGGTGATGGGCTGTAGGATTTGGTTGACTGACATCCGTGAATCATACGTGGGCTGTAGGAAAGAGCGAGCGGGCACTCGGTCACTGCATTGGTTTTGCAAACATCAGCTCAGTTGTGATTCAGAGTGCCTAATGTTACACGCGAAATGGCGAAAGGGAAATCGAAATCGACAATTCACAGTGAAGGTCGGGAGATCATAGCTAGTGTAATTGAGGCATGCAATAAAGAAAAGAAACAAAATCATCTGCTAGTTCCTCTGACAAAGGCCACAGAAAGAGCAGCGGTATATACTGGTGTTGGTGTAACAAGTATTAAAACAATTCAGAAAGAAAATAATATACGAAATGCAGGAAGTGCTGACAGGCGACTTATTTCACCCAGAAAGAACAGTGTCTCGTTGCAACGCCATGAAAATAGATGTGTTTGAGTACTGGGAAAGGGATGACATGGGCGTTATCAGAAACGCTATCTCTGATTTCTATGTCCGTGAAAAGCAAGTGCCAATGGTATCAACAATGTTGCCCATAATAAAAGAAAAGATCAATTTTCCTTGGGGAGAAAAGTCACTATGAAGGTTGATGAAGAAGATGGGATTCAGATGGAAGAAATGTAATTCAAAACGGTTAAGTGTTGATCGATAAGAGAGACATTGTTGATTGGAGATCAAAATATCTCGTCCAAATGAGGAAGTTAAGGAAGAAGGCGTGAAATAGTGTATATTGACGAAACGTGGATTGACAACAGCTTAGTAGTTAAAAAGTGCTGGCAGCATGATGATATAATTGGTGTAATGGCAAACATAAGCCATCAGTTAGACTAATTGTAGTTCATGCTGGTGGAAACAATGGTTTCATTAATGGGCGGGAACTAATTTCAAAGCTGGTTCTGCATCAGGCGATTACCATGGACAAATGAACCAAGAAAATTTTGAAAAGTGGGTTAGAGAAAAATTATTAGAAAACCTGCCTTCTAATGCAGTAATTGTGCTCGATAATGCCTCATATCATAGTGTAGTAGCTAATAAAACCCAACTGGCATATTCAGTAAAGCGAGATTTGATTCAGTGGTTGAATGCAAAAGGATTGCACGTTAATGAAAACCTGAGGAGGCGTGAATTATATCAACTAGTTCTGCAACTAAAACCTAAGAACAAAATTTACAAGATTGATGAGCTGTTTTACCAGTAGGGGCCATTCAGTCATTCGTCTCCCTCCTTACATGTGTGAACTGAATCCCATTGAAATGGCATGGGCAAAAATTAAGAGACTCGTAAAGGAAAGAAATGCAAATGGGGACATGGCAACAGCAAAATTGTTAGATCTTACAAACTGGGCTATCCACAAGTCACTACTGAAGACTGGATGGGGTATTGCTCTCACTCACGAAACTAGAAAATGAATACTGGGAAAGGGATGGTATAGTGCCGGACATTATAGACAGTATTGTTATAAATATGGACTCGGATAACGAGTGTGAAGAAAGTGAAAACAGCGATAGCTCATCGATGGACAGTGATTAGGTAAGACCAATGTTTTTAATTGAATAGTACTCTCCATCTCCTCCCCACTCTCTGCTTCACTTCTTCCCGTATCCCCCACTCTACCCCTCTCCGTCGCTCACTGATTGCCACAGCGTAATCGCATGACGTCACAGAGCCGGAGAACTCTGAACTCTACTGAACTTGCTGTACATTCTTGACTCTTGTTTGAATTATGTACATTCCAAACTATTAGTTCCAGTAGTTGAAATTCATTAGCTATATTTCTCTTTTATTATTTTGCTTTATATTGGTCATATTTGTTTGTTACTATAATAGAATCATCTTCATTTACATTTTTAACCTTTTTTATTGCATTTCTATTCACTCATTAAATCATTTTTATTTTCAACATTTCTCGAGGATTAAAGTCTCAAGGAATAAATAGTTTAACTTAAAGAGAGGCTTTTTCAGTCAGTACAGAATACCCGAATCCAGATCCACTGATGGGAGCAGAAAATTTAGAATTTTATGGTCAAAGACCTTGGAGACCAGGAAAATTGAGTGCAGAACCTCCAGACCCTGCTAAAGAGAAGATTGGTGTCCTTGCTTTACAATATAAGGAAAAAAATACTAATCATTCGGTATGCTATTTTAAATTATTAAATATAAATTGCATAGGTTTTGAACAATTTACACATGAAATTTGTTATCTATAATGTTTATGTTTATATTCAGTCTTGTTTTCTGATTAGTCCCAGATAATTCCAATACCGTGCTATGCTAAATTATTTCAGATATGTGTTATACATTTTTCTTGCTTATACATTCGTAATAAAGTTGTTGAAAATCGTATAACGTCCACATGGATAACTAACATAGTTGACCAATAAGTGTGGAATGTTTACAATTATCATAGAGGAGTTCACACGATTTTTGTGTTGAATTCAGTATTCAGGTTGTTTAATTTCATCGCGAAACGGTGTTTTCAAGCACTCTGTGGATGTGCTCTTGCAAAGCCCATTATCATGACATACTTTGTACCTTGAGCTGTGGGCTTAACAGACATTGCCAAGACTGCTCTTGTGCTGTTCACATAAGATACAGAAAGCATAAAGACACAAGTTAAACGATTCATGTGCAGACATCAACATGTGTCGCCATGCACTGTTGTCATCAGCTTTAGGTGATGTTGCCTCAACGCAATGATCATGTAACACAGACCTAAAGTACTGGGTGCATAAAGTGCAAATATCCGTGCTATTTTTTCCACCAAGCATGTTATATCTGGGTCATGGCTTTGTATTAGGCTAAATGTCCCGACACTAGTAAATTTGTGGCCACCATCGTGGAAGCACCAAAATAGTAAAATTTACTTTACCGATAATGTCTGAACCAATGGTTCGATTTTCGATCTGTAAAACGGCATTTGACGCCTTTTAAAAATAGAATTTACGCTACGAAGCCATTTTTCCAAAAATCTAGAAAAATCTCGAATTTGAAATTAGTTTTCAAACTTCGCGAGACAAATTTAAAAATGTGGGCTTATAGCGCGATGGCGCATGCTTCCTAAATCCAACGCCGTAAACAATCATGCCAAATCGGACGAATAGGACCGTCGTAAAAGGAGAATTTTCGAAAACACCTCGCCCCCCCTCCCCGTTCTCGCGTTGCGTCACCCACGCGATTGTTGTGGGCCTCTGTCGGCGCGGGGGCAGCGACCAGGCCAGGCGGCGTGCGGCCAGCCCGGCGGAGCAGGCGGGACTTGCGGGATACGCAAGCCAGACAGTCGGTTTCGGCTTTCGTCTCCTTTGCATCTTAGTCTATTTTTCCACAGATACAAATTAGAGATGCTATACTACATATTACTGACTGAGGTAAGGTCTGTAATAGTAGTAGCATAAGTATATTTTTCACATATTTCCGTCTTTCTTCGAATACGACTTAAAATTGTTTGAGGAATACTCAAAGATCGATTCCAATTTGGAACAGGTTTTTAAAAAAATGAAACTAATTTTGTAAATATAACCATTATTCCATCTCCTCACATCTTATTTTAAATATATTTTACTTCTAAGGTTTTCTGTGAACATTCCACCCTTGCTCTAAGATCTTCCGGTTTCAAATACCGGAACGATTGAGCGGAGTATACGCCACAAGCTCTTTTTTCCTACAACTCGATTTTTGATCTCAAAACGACGTTTACCTGATTTAATGAGTTCATCGGGTGAATCTCTAAATTATATACAATATAATAACAAATACATTTATTTTCACAAAAATATACCCACACTCCCGAAAAATAATCAGCTGATCCGCTCCGCTGTGACACCTCTCCTAACTCGTAAGCGGAAGGCAATAACACAGACACTCGGGTGTCATCGGAAGCGACCGCAGATCCTGCACAGATCTGACGTCTCCACGCAACGCTTCAGGGAGAGAGGCGAAACGATTTGAGGGGACTTGATTTTTCATGACGCGAGCTTCAATTACTGGTAACATTGGGGAAAGTTTAATCTCGTAAACAAAAAGTAAATTATTATTTTGAATTTCTTGGTACTTTTTATGCACATAGCCGCAGTTATCTACAGTGTAATTTTATATAATAATTATTATTTTTCTATTTACATTTATTCAAAGGACCGAAATCAAGGGTAGACCTGTGAGATCGGACTCGGTAGGACAGACACGCAATAACATTCACAATCTCTGTTGCACAGACTAACAGGCAGATACAAGAGAGAAAACAAAGCTTTTGTGACTGAACCAACGAAATTCTAAAAGTTTGTACATCTTATGTTTCTAACATGAAAAAAGTAAGTAAAAAATGAGTGGTTGTTTCTGCGACTTATTGCACTGACGAGTTCTGCAGTTTTCGAATTATGTTTTTGATGAGGATCACTCACGTCTCGTTGTTTTCCATTTTCCAAGTTAATGAGATTAGAAAGGCAAGAATCTCCTTTTCGTCTTTCGATGACGGCAGAGATTGTTTTGTTGGTGGTGTTGTAAGCGATTCTGATGCAAAACAAGCGTTGGAATTCTGATTTCTATGATTTGGAGGGTCAAAAATATTATTGAAAGAAATGTTTTTACAAACACTCATGTCATTAGCCATTTTGTACTTGAAATTATTGTGCAGTATAACTCCTCTATAAATCGAAAGTTTTTTAGTACCTGCGAGATAGTAAGCAATCTAAAAGCCACTTTCACTCTGCAGGTCTCAACAAATATTTTGACGTTGAAACCTGAAGTGTTCCCACTAGTGTAACGATTTTGACGCCTCATCTTTCGCAGGCGGCAATTTGACATAATCTCTTGAATAGTGAGGGAAATTCATTACATTGCAAATGATATATTTCCAAAAACTTGTAATAAATCACATATTAAATATTAGTCATCTGTTTCGTACATACGAGGTTGAACTAAAGAATTCAGAGCTCTTAAGATTAACCAGTATTCGTAAGTACAATTCGATTGGAAGTGCGTATGACTCCATTTTGCAATGTTTGCTATTTGAGCCAAGCAGATATGCGTAAGAAATGTCTAGATGTCGAGAAAATGTATATCTTGCTTTGACAACATTGTATGAGGTTCAATATCACTTCATCTGATGGAGAATGTTTCTTGTTCTGGAGAAGACATAACTCAATGTGTAAATGTTGTTGCTTCAATGTGTTTTTACTCAATGTGTAAAGTGTATAAGCGTATTCAATTTAATTTGGTTTCTGACTTTTGGTGGGCGTATGCTTTTGTTCGTAGTAAAGGCCAAACAATACCCAATTAAGCTAGGGAAATTATACGTCCGTTACTAAGAATGTGACGAAGAAAAGTAATTTCGGTGCGTTCTTCATCACAGCCTTGTCAACAACAATTTTCGCGTAGTAACTATACGAAGTATGTGTTCGAACTGAGATATCAATTATAAAAAGAAGGATTTTGAAGCCGGCGGGGCAGCCTTGAGTACTCCCGTTAAGAAAAGGCCATATTGTAAAGATAAAAAATTCCACATTGATGGTTTCACTTTTGCTTATTTGTTTTCCTATTTTCTTATGAATGTTTTTCATTTTGTCTATGGCATACTTGGCGTAATATATTTGGGACAGCTAGTAGTTGCAGATGAGGCGGGGCGAGGGAGCGGCAGCTTCCAAGAACCACGAGCGGCATTTCCCCTCAGCCTCGCAATCAAATCAGCTCCCAACTATAAGAATGAGGTGTGCTCGTAAATGAACAGAACGCAATAGACACGTGGACGTGGAGCAGGAAGTGCAAGGGGAGACAGGGCACCGAGTAAGCGAGGCCGATCAGTGAACTTGGTGTGAGCATTTCTCCACGTATATCTTGCGAACCACTGTCCCAGTGCCATATCGGACTTGGGAAATCCTGGGGCCCCTCCCCACGGCCACTTTATTCGAGTCCAAGCTCGTTCTTTCCCTAGTCCCTGCCCTAGTCCTTCGGCAGCTGGTGGCGATGAAAGAAGCGATCGCCGATGCATTCGACGCAAACAACCTGCTTATAGTTTTTCAACAATGGACAGACTGAATCAGAACCGCAGAGAAAATTCAAGATTTTCTCCGTGAAATATAAAAGAAAAAGGTTTCACATAAATCTTGGAAACTCAGAGATCACGAAAAGAAGATTCTATGGATTATATAATACGATTAAGCATACTATAGTATACATGCTTTGGTTTTCACTTTAAATGCATGCCTATTATTATTATTATTATTATTATTATTATTATGTATTATTATTATTATTTATTTATTATTGTTGTTATGTTATTATGTACAACGGAGTCCTTATATTTCTTTGTTTTCAAACATTATGTTTTTCTCTGCAAAGAAAGCAAATGCCAGACGAAAATCAGAAAAGTCTACAGGGTATCCAGCCGAGACCAAGAATAAGATAAAGCAAAATGTTTCAAGAAAAAAGCGAAGAAGTGGAAGAACATAACAACAAATGGAGATCTTAAGAAATTTTTCCAGGTCATTCCGAAATATGATCACGGAATGTAAACCAACAATGGCGAATGTTAAGAATGTGAACGACAAAATAAATAGCAACCAAAAGAAGAGATCAGCGAAAAGATGGGAAGGTATATCACGAAAACCGTATATTTGAGAAGAACTTACAAATATAGTAGTGGATAAATATAGATAATTACGAATAAGAAACTAGAGATCGAAGAAACGCAACTGGGGGCGACAAAACCCTTTGAATAAGGGAAGTCCCGGCTGTAGATTATATTCAAATCGAACTATTCAAATACGGAGAAGAAATCTGGCAAAACCAACACAATGATGCAATGTGAATATGGAAAAGAATAGTGAACAGCAGACTTGCAACGCCACTATAATTATTCCATTACCAAAGAAAAGTAGCAGTCGAGATTGTGCATATAACAACACAATTGCATGAATACGTGGTTATTGCAGTTCAATGCGCAAAGTCATCCCAATGGCAAAAGTAGGCAAAAATAAGATTTTAAAATGTTTGATGTAAGCATATACTTTCTCAAGATTTTCAAAAACCAATTCAGCATTGAAAGAAACCTCATTTTCCTCATCTCCTCTGGAAAGTTGTGTAGATTACATTTACGTCGGTAAGCGTTCAGCGTCAAGCATACCTAAGATCATACTCACGAAAAAGATTTCTTTTGTTTTTAAACTGTTTGAATGTTCTATCCATATTATTTATTCTTTTGGCCGTATAGTCATGAAAGAGTCACGTGGCAACTGGTTTTGAATACTGAATTCTACTGATAACTTTTCTAGAAAAATCCACTGTTTTTATAAAACAAACAAAAATTGAAGAGAAAACACGCTGCCAAATGCCAAGCAAACCTGCTAGGAGTTGGTCCAATTGCATCATTACCTTTATTCATTTACGTAAGTTTGTACAGAAAAATGAGCCGCACCAGTAAATTAATTTATTCCCTTCAAAAATTATACAAATATGACAATTATTTTATATCAAAAGAATTTATTTTATATCAAAATTAAGCTTAATACAAAATAAGCTGGGATAAGTCATGATTCATAAAATATTATTTCGATGGCTTGTTACGGCGGTTGGAGTCAAAATGGCACCTCGCCACCCGCTAATTTTACCCACTTTTTTAAATTTTCATAGTCGTAGTTTTTCCGCGGCCAGAGTCATGTGCATGATTTGGGTTGTCCGGGTGACGCCGTGTCGAGGTGTTTGCTCGCGTTTCGACTATCTTGTCGTGGCCTTCTTGCAGGGCTGGTATGTCATGGGCATACCCCGGTACAGTCAAGATGCATGTACTTGTTTAAAATTTTGTCCGAAGTAGCGAAAACATTTTTAAATTAGCTTCGGCATTTTCTTGGGAACAAGAGATTCACCAGATGAACTTATTAATGCAGATAAACATCGTTTTGAGATCAAAAATCAAGTTGTATGATAAAAGAGCTCGTGCGTATACTCCGCTCATTCTTTCCGGTATTTGAAACCGAAAGATCTTAGAGCAAGGTGGAATGTTAACAGAAACCCTTAGAAGTAAAATATATTTAAAATAAGATGTGAGGAGATGGAATAATGGTTATATTTACAAAATTAGTTCATTTTTTTAAAAACCTGTTCCAAATTGGAATCGATATTTTGAGTATTGCTTCAAACAATTTTAAGGTCGTATTCGAAGGAAGACGGAAATATGTGAAAAATATACTTATGTACTACTGTTACAGACCGTTTACCTCAGTCAGTAATAGTAGTATAGCATCTCTAATTTGGTATCTGTGGAAAAATAGACTGAGATGCAAAGAGACGAAAGCCGAAACCGACTGTCTGGCTTGCGTATCCCGCAAGTCCCGCCTGCTCCGCCGGGGCTGGCCGCACGCCGCCTGGCCTGGTCGTGCCCCCGCGCCGACAGAGGGCCCACAACAATCGGATGGGTGACGCAACGGCGAAGGGGAAGGGGGGGGCGAGGTGTTTTCGTAAATTTCTCTTTACGACGCTCCTATTCGTCCGATTCGGATGATTGTTACGGCGTTGAATTCAGGAAGCATGTCGCCATCGCGCTATAAGCACACATTTTTAAATTTGTTCACGGAAGTTTGAGAACTAATTTCAATTTCGAGATTTTTCTAGATTTTTGAAAAAATGGCTTCGTAGCGTAAATTCTATTTTAAAAGCGCGTCAAATGCCAATTACAGATCGAAAATCGGACCATTGGTTCAGACGTTATCGGTAAAGTAAATTCCCCTGTGATAGTGCTGCGATCTATTGAATTTTCCTACAAGTATTTTTCGGTGCATTTAGCCTTAAGTATGTAATGTACTTGAGCTTCCAAGTCAATGCCCAGTAGCAAGTAATATATTTCAGCTTCTGGTCTCGATCACATTTTTGTCCAGTTTCCATGTTCAATTGAGCATTCACTGAATGTAAATGAATCAAATATTAGAAATGAAAAAAAACTATTGTAGTGATGGATGCATGAAAAACTGCCACAGTCATGATGCCAATGTCAATTATATTTGATGTGATGTCAATTATAATGTAATTAAATTTCAATGTAATAAGTATTTTGTTTTGCATCGTTTTTAATGAAACATGTAATGTTGAACAGTAATATATTTATTTATTCTGTGTGGTAACAGGACATTGTGAGGTGCTATGTCAACATACTGTAAAACTCCATTAATGTGGTTTTCAAAGAAAGGAAGGAGAAAAATGTGTAAGTGAGAAAACCCATGAACTGAAATTGAGAGGCAAATTTAGGCAAAATAAAAATTCAATGTTTTTACGGTACCATCGTATTAGAACTATATAATATGCATACAGTAGAACCTTGGGTTGCAAATAACTTAGTTTGCGAGGGTTTTGCAAGCAAAAATTTTGAAGATATTTTAACATCATTGATAATGATTCTGGGCATGCAAACTGCTAAGGTAATTAGTCCCGGAAGTGCAGTGCATGTTTTTCTCGGCAGGTGGTTGTGATCCTTCCCCTTGGATGGCGAGATCTGGCACCGGCCTACCTTTGGCTAGCTGGGTTTTCCCTAAACAGGTATCTCCCACCAGCAGGGCACCACCCCAGCCAGAACAAACTCTATGCTCCTGACCAGTCTTCCAGCATATGTGGTGGTATAGCGCGTGTAAGAGGTAGGATGGGACTAGGAATGGGAAGGAAAGATTGCATGCAGTCTGTGGCTCGTTTGGTAGCATACTGCTTAAGCATTCGTGTGGTGTTCATCTAAGAAACGACGGAAAACTACTGATCAGAGCAGCCGTCTGCTAGAATTCACCTCCAAACAGCGACAGAATTCACCTTAGCTATCTGGCATTTATCAAAAATTCTGCCATTATCACAACTTGAACCGAGGACCTCCTGGTGAGTTTTGCCATCAGTTGACGGCCTGAGCCACCTCTCCTGGTCAATATCTTAACTTTATATACAAGCAATGCTTTGCGATGTGAGTAGAACTGGTTGGCTTCCTCTCCCTGTCATTTTTCATGTAGCAATTTACTCACACGCTGTTTTAGTGCAATAAACTTTGCACTATGCATTCTAGATTAGTAGAAGAGGAGGACTTTCTTCCATCCTTTCTGCCTGTCAAATTGTTTCTCGTTCACAGTCTTAACAGGAAAGGGCTGGAAAGGAGGAACTTTAACTTCAATTGAGATTAAGGAGATAAGCAAAATGTAGGAATGGGTGTATAATTTTGTAGAAAAACACCAGCTGAATAACTCTGTTGCAAAGGATATTTTCAATAACAATATAACATTACATTTCGATGACCTGAAAAGAAGACTGAAGCAAGTTTTTGAATACACTTTTGGTTAATAACAGCAAATGATTCCAGTGAGCCAATAGGTGACTATGATACTATACCATTACCACTTTTTTTCATCTAAAATATATCGTCTCCCTCAATGTAATGTTCAGCTAGGTATTTTTACTACATAAGGCCCAGAGAATTTTGCCTTAATCATTGTACATGAATCAGTAGTTTTGTATTGTGAAGAAATTCTCAACATTTCAATTATTTCATTTGGGAAAATTTGATACACAAGTGTTTTGGATTACAAACATGTTTCTAGAACAGATTATGCTTGTAATCTATGGTTCTAGTGTTTTATTAGAACTGCATAATATGCATATATTATTATAACTGCGTTATATTCTCAAGAAAATTTTTTGAAAAAGTACATAACATTATAATCTATGCTTTTCTCAGCACCTAAAGACAATACTGAATTTCCAACATTTGGCAGATATCAAGCAATTCCTTGCCCATTTCTGAGTAGCTGAGGTGCGCACAAAATGTTTGTATCCTCTGATGTGTCACAAAAGACAGAAAGGCAACTACTTCTCAGTAGTTGCAAGCAGTCCTTTGGATCTTGCTGAATGTTGCATTTGACACTGCCAGAAGGATAAAAATCCCCCTTAAAATGAGACAAATGAGTCATTAGATCCTCTCAAACGTCATGCTTAATTACAAAATTTTGAAGAGTTGTAGAGGATAATTGTCCAGGAGCCATTGATTCGCTCAGGGCATTAATTGATGTAATTGCAGTGCTTCTGACTGGGAGCTCCTACATACAAGTATTGATAGTGGCAGAATTTTCAACACTAGGTACATAGCTAGATCGAATTCAGTCTGACTGAGGCAGAATTCTAGCGGCCAGCTACTCTGTTCGATAGTTTTCCGTGGTTTATCTCAACACCAGGTTAACGCCAGAGCAGTGCCCTACCAAACTGGCCATGGATGGTGCACAATCTTTGCTTCCCATTCCTTGTCCTATCTTCGCCCCTTACACACACTTACACTTAATGCATTACAGTACCACTCATGCCAGAAGACCAGTCGGGAGCTTAGAGCTTGTCCCGGCTGGGGCGGTGCCTGTGGCAGATACCTGTTTAGGGAAAACCTTGTTAGCCAATGATGGGTTGGTACTGGATCTGACCATCCAACAGGGTAAGATCAGCACCTTCTCCTGCGCAAAAAACTTGCCGTATACTTATGGGACTAATGTCCATAGATGTCAACGCACCCGGAATCACTGTAATCAATCAATCAATCAATCAATCAATGTTCAAAACATATGAATGGAGTTTTACTGTGTATCCTTCAATGAATGCTACTTATAAAGAAATCAGGACAATATTAAAAATATTACAAAATTTTAATTGAATTTTTAAGATGCGTTTTGTGTGTGTTTTGCAATGCTTATCATGTTTTTAAACATTTGTCTTTTGTTTTGTTGGGAGTTAATAGGAACAAGATAGTAGTAGAAAATTACTTGAAATCTGAATGGTGTTTTTATGTTAAAAGGTGAAAATTATTTGAATTGGAGGGAGAAATATTTTAAAATCACTTTGCCAATTCACAGATGTTTTTGGTGTTGTTTACAATATTGTAAAATGTGAACAGTTTTATACAATGAAGTTTGAAATATTAACTTTGTATATTCATTACAGATGCTTATTATCGGATTGCTTGGTAGTGCCATATCTCAATTTAAAACTTACCGGTGTCCACGAATGCGACGGCAGCTAGGTGTGTTCTTTTATATGATTACCTTTAGAGAACTATTATTTTCTATTGTTTAAGCAAAATTCACCAGTAATGAAAAATTAACTTTTTTTAAATTTTTAATAGTGGTCCAAATGGCTGAAGAATATTTTAGTTCCAAAGATTATGGGAAAGCTTTAACGTAAGTATGTTTGAATTGTTTTTATCATCTTGCAAATTGTGAATTTCACAGACTGACAGATTTGAAACATTTTAAAATAACTTACTTAAATTTAGTTTTGGAAGTTGTAAGTGGTTTATTATCAATAAAATATTTTTTTTATTTCAGACTCCTTACACATATGCTGTGGGACTATCGCTGCGAGAAGTGGTGGCTCCTCTTGTCTAATATTTTAGTACGTGCATTGGGTTGTGCATTCTTGGCAGCAAGTGTTCAAGATTATATAGTGCTTACTTTGGAAGCACTTGGATCATGTGCTCAGTTGCATGAAGAAGAAAAGACTCGAGTATTTGGAAATCTGGAAAGATTATTGAAGGTAATTGAACAAACTTAGTAAATCTTATGTAAGATTTTTGTACTCTGTAAAGTCTCAAGAAAATTTCCAAACTGTAGAGAAGAATGTCTTGCATGTTTAAAAGAAAATTTATTTTATTATATGCTTTTTGAGTAACAATTCCCTGTTCTATAAACAGATGAAATTATAATAAACAAACGTACTATAGAAAACTATTTACAAATATTAACAAATATTTTTGAGAATTTTCTATTTTTCATTGTAAAGGGTTTACCCCCTGACCCAGAACCTAATCTTCCACAAGAAGAGGTGGATCATGCACGTCAGCTGTGGACATCTTCTAAAGTTGGAGACGTTTTTAATATAGCTATTGAAATGAACAATATAACAGGTTGCATTGAAAGTAAAGCTCAGTTTACGCAACCGCAGTACCAAGCAGACCAGCATGTCACCATAGAGGTGTACATCAGGTATTCAATATTACAATTTAATTAATTTCTTATAAAATTATACTTTCATATTATTTCTACGGAAGAAATGTTAAGTAATATCTGTGCAAGTTTTCTTGACCGATTGATTGAAGAAATGCAGTTAGAGTGGTGGTATTAGTTAAAAAGTCATCCGCCAGAGTACTTGAAGTAATGCCAACCTCTGCAAAATCAAAGTCAAATTTGATACTGGCACAGCCAGGCTGGAAAATAATTCAATTGTGCTGTGTGTATTCACAAGTTTTTCATTATAGCTTAATTGATCTTTGTTCTCAGTACACCTTTGATAGTAATGTTTAATCTCAGATTAGTATTTAAAATTGTCCCTCGTATTTTGTAATGCCTGACTGCTTGATTTGTTGACTTTGATTACCGGAAGTGAGAAATGTTATTTTATTATAATAAATTTCTGCTTATGAACTGTGTCAGTTTAAATAGTAACTAACAAGACAAAATTTTTTAATGACTTTAAATGCTATAAATCAATCTTTTGTTCAAAGATATCTGAAAAGTTGAAGGAAATAGTGTACAAAAAATAAATTATATTGAATATGATGAATTGGTTTCCTTGAATGCTATCTTTTCGTACTGGGCTTTTTGGTGAGTGTAAAGAGTCATTAGCTCTTTTTATCTTTATTCTACATATTGTGATTAAACTAGATCCATTATACACAAAAGCCTGATCTATAGCATCACATAATAATACATCAAAACCTTGTTCCCTTTTTCCAATTCAAATGCATTAGAAACTTTATAATTTTGCATTCACCTCTGCAATACATTCTCTTAACTTTCTCAGAAGTTTGAGGAAGTGAAGGACTAGGACCTACTTAAGTCATTTCTTTAGGTATTTATCACAAAATAAACATGAGAAGTTCTTGTCTTTCAAAGTAACTAGCTTCTGTTTTGCGCCAAAAAAGTTTCTGTGTTTGGAATGTTGTCATCAGTGCTGCAAGCTTTTGCCTTCAAATGTTTATTGCTTAAGGGAAGGGGAAGCTAGGCCATCGGTCAAGAAAAAGTGCATAGTTATTACTATATTTTAAAAAATTTAATGATAAAATTGATCTTTCAGGAGTTGTTGTCCTCATCCTCTTCAGTTCAGCAAGTTGACTGTCACTGTAAATAATCCTACATACAGTTCAGAATTTGCAGTGTGTGAAAGCAGTAGTAATGAATCTGGAGCAAATCCGTTACTTTTGTTTCATAAAAATGAGGTTAAACGTTTTGTTTGTCAATTCTTACCTGATGTACAAGATGTTGGTAAAGAAATACAAATTGGCTCCATATTATTGTATTTGGGATCTGAGAAAGGTCGCTGTGCTATATTGCGGTTTACTGGTACTGGCAGTGAACCTTCCTCTGTTGATATTTCATGCCCGGAGCTTCAACATTTTAGGTATGTTATTTGATTAATGTTCTTGTTCTGTAGATTAAGCAATTTATTCAATGTTGAGATGGTTTCATTCGCATACCCTATTGTACTGTTCAGGTCTATGTGACCTCGGGAGTTCATTCTGGTCTAGTAAGTAGTCTGCTTAAATGACAATTACATATGCTTATTTCTAAACATCATCTAATTTGTAAGTTTTAAAAATAAAAATGACAATTCTGGACAGAAATTGTTCAACTTTTTGGCACTTCGGCCAGTGGTGTTCATCTTGGGAAAGGTCATGATAACCCACATGTGCTGAATTTCAAGAATATGTCCCACACTGTAGCTGTTTGAGTACGAAATTGTTTCTCAATTTGGCTTCAGTGCCTGTGTAGGATGAACAATTTGACCTATTATGTGGAATATTCTCAAAGATGATACATACCTGATGAATGAAACATTCATCTGTCCAATATATTAGTGTTGCTATCGAATGGCACACTCTTTCTAGTACTAGTTAGTTTTCTAATATCTTTAGTCCAGACTAGCTTTTTAGTTTTGTCCTGCCCTCATCCCAGCTGTCATCTATTGCCACCCAATTGTCAATTTTTCACTTCCCTAATAGCAAAATTCATATCTAACTTTAAGAATATTAGAGAATAGTAAAATCTGAACCAATTTACAACTTTGGTTGAAAAAAATACTTTTTTGAGAAAATTTAGTTTGAGCATTTCTGAAAATGCACAATTTTAATCTCGTTTTCACAGAAAACTTTTGTTTCCAACATACTTCATTGGAAAACATTGGGAGTACTTCTACTCCTAAATGCTGTAATCTATAAAGCATGTCCATAAAGCAATATTAACAACAAGATATGTTTCAAAATAAATAAATTTGTGAAATTTCAAAACAATCAAAACAATAAATTAAAATAGCATTAATTGCATGTTATTTTGTGCATTCAGCACTGTAAGTACAAAAAGTTTAAAGAAAAAATTTGAATTTTTCAGAAAACCTTGTTTTTATTATATTTTAATATTGAAAATATATCGCAGAAAATTACGCAAAAATACTAAAATTTTCAACAAAATGTACATAACAATATTATAAAAACTAATTGTGGAGAACCAATGTCATTTGCAAAATAAATTTGTAACTGTAGGTTTAGGAAGACAGTGGAAAACATTCAAACCTTTGTAATATTCGAAAATGCAGAGTTATCAGTGAAAATCAGGCCTCTGGCATCTTTATAAGTGTATTTCACTGTATTGTACAAAAAATTTAAAGAAAAAATTTGGAACCTTTTGAAAATTTTGGAGAAACTTATAAAAATATTCTAGAGGATTCATGCAAAGTACCTTCAAAATTTAAAGAATGTTTTTCAAAATCACAGAGCTTTGAGTTACGCCAGATAGTCAGGAGAATATTCATTTTTGAAAAAGTGCTATCTCGAAATTGATTTTCTACAGCATCACTTTGCTATGTCTATGCTGGTCTATACTATGTTACTACTCAATATATACATATGTATACAAATGATTAAAGTGACTGTTGTAGTAAATAAAATATTGGAAGGTGCACGTTTGTAACAACATAATAATTAAACTCTTATTGCAGTAGCACTGCCACCAAAACTAATTCCTTAAAGTTTAAAAGCAATCTGATTCAGTCATGATCTCTAACATTCTGTTACTTGCGAAACATTTCAAGCCTTTGTGGTGTTGAAAATGGTCCTTGAACAATGTCAGTTATAGGTGAAGTCAAGTTGTAAGTCTCTATCTAGTGGCCTTTTATTCCTAATGGCCAGAGACTTGGTGCCACTAGTTTTCTGAGTTCCCAGACAATCACCCAGGGTGTTTTCTAGCTACCTAATTTCCTGAAAAAATGAAAAAATTAAATAAAGATTAATGTTGTACAAAACTGTTCATAAATTATTAGGCAATTTCAATATAGAAATTAATTAAATTTAGCTTGAGAAAATATTATATTTACCAGCAAACAACAAAATTTTAATGTTACTAAAATGACATAACGTAATAAGTTAAGGAAATACTATGTTTTATTCCGTTTATTGGACACCGTCAACACAAAACCATGTAAGTACTATTGCTGAAGAAGAAAGCTGTAGAAAGGTACCCCTCAAGTCTTCATCAAACAGATGTGATATAAAAAATTTATAATTTCTGTGATTAAGATGTATGAAAAACAGCCAACATCTAAGTAACCTATGTGGCTCAAAAGCAACACTTTTTAGACCCTTAAAACCTGTTATTTTATTTCCCTAACAGGCCATAATGTATGTTTCTAATGCATAATTAACAAAATGAGACTTTCTTGGATGTTCTATTAAATATTTGGAAGGTACCCCCAAATCCATATAACAGATTGTCAGAAACATTCATATTTTTTCTGCACAAGGATCTGAAAAGTGTAGTGTTTTCACAAGGATTCAAATACAAAATTGTATTAGAATTAAATAATTAGTTAACCTGATATTTGCAAAAGAATAACATGTCTCTTACGTATACTGTTATTAATATTACTTAGGCTTTGTGTTAGTATGAGGGTTCTGAAAACAGTATATTATTCTCATATACAGTCATTTAAGCTATGGTGCGCTACTCTGGTGTTACTGGTCTGTTGATAGACTATTTAAACTGCAGAAAATGTGTGTGAGATTACTCTGTGGTCTTTCCATGCGCAGCCACTGTAGGTTGAGTTTTGAAAAGTTCGGTATTATGACAGTTCCAGCCATGTTTATTTTGCAATGTCTTCTTGATATAAAAAGAATTCACATTTGTATGACACATTAGGCTCTAATCATGATCACGCAACAAAATATAGAAATTACCTTAGATTCTTTAGATGCAAGTAAAACACAGAAAACCTTCTGTTAAATGTCTTTGAAATTTTTAAGTGCCCTTCCTCAATACATTACACTGTTGTCCTTCATTAAATTAAAACAATTATTACATAGATTACTAACTGATAATTGCATTTATAAGGTGGAAGAGCTGTTTGAAATGAGTTACATTAAGCAATAGACTGTACTTCATCTGGTATGTATTATTGACGATTGTGTTTGCTATGTCATTTTTTACTAATGTTGTTATGCTATTATTTACTGTGATGATTGTAACGCAATGGATGTTCTCCTTTGTTTCTATAATAAAAAATTAAATTAAATTAAAGTTATTAATAAAGATATAAACTAATATCACAGATTGTTTAAAGCATTATTCTCTGGCCCTCTGCAGTTTCACCATTTTTATAAGAAAATATTAAATTTAATAGATTTTTAATTTTCTTTATTGTTTTTGCCTTGAAAGATGAATTTTTTTTTTATTTCATTTATTTAATATTTCTTTTTGAACTTCAGATTTTACAACATAAGTTTATTTTGCTGCTCTAGCACTTTTTATTTGTTCATTTGTTATTTTAAAATTATTAATCTGCTATTTGCATTTTCTCATTTTACCTTTTCAGTGTTTTTGACTTTTTTTTTTTGTTTTCTCTTTGGAGCTGTTATTTAAATATTCTTCTGTCTTACTTTGTGTTACTGCGGCACTACTCATTTCATAAAATGATACATGAATAACATGAAAACAATTGTAGTAGTGAATGTTGTTAATACATATGTTGGCTAAAAATGAAAAACGTTAATTTTTATGAAAAACTCATGTTTAATTCTTGTAAAATTGATTTCCACTGATGACTAAGTATGAAACAATCAATTTACCTTAAATCAGGCTTTGTAGTGTATTTCTACTAGTGTGTTCTACATACCATTGTTTAAACTGAAATATTTATATAGTACATAAAAATGAATCTGTACAAATACCATACAAAAGTTTTTTGAATACTGATTTCAATTTAAAAAAAATTGTTTCTTCGTCTCTCAATGATATGATTGCATGATAAAGTTTAGAATATTTAAGCCATAGAAATTTTCAATTAAATTAACAATTTGCTGTTGGCTATATTCTGATTACCCACCTCCTAAATAATAAAAATAGACAACTTTTTTCTATTTATCTTTTAATCTATTTCTTTCTTAAAACTTTTTCCAGACCATCCTCTGCAGATATGCCCGATTTTGATGGCATACAGCCTGTAGCTACTGCAGAAATTGTGCCACGAGATTCAAAATTAGAAGTAACTGTTGTTCACAGTACACCCGCATTGTTGGGTGAATGGTATCCTATAAAAGTGATTTTAGAGAATAAAGAATCGAATATGATTTCTGAAGTGTCAATGGACATAAATCTATTATCTAACAATGAAGACCCTTCTTTAGAGCAAGCTAGTGAGTTTTTAATGGATGAAACTTGTTTTATTAATAATATAGATATATTCATCACCACTCGCATGTTGAATTGTAACAAAAAATCATTTCCCTCTGAAAAAAAATTTCTAACGGTAAATACTAATTGCATTAAAAACAATATATATGTGTGAATTACTTTAAATTCAGGAAGTATCCTTTCTTACCCATCACTTTTAGCATTTAGTTATTGCTGGTATTTTCCAGAAAAGTGTCTTAATGCTTTAACTCGTGCAAAATTTAAGAAATTTCTTTCCTTTAAATGTATTTATATGTAATGCACAATATTATTTAATCATAATTTATTCATGATTCCGAAACATTATTTCACAATCATAATTTGTACATGATTCCGAAACATTATTTCACAATCATAATTTGTACATGATTCCGAAACATTATTTCACAATACTAATCAGGGCCTTGCAACTCTCCATCAAAAGAGAGGACAAAGCTCGAGGGTGCTACTCTAAGTCACTAGTGTCGCCAGATACAACTGCAGGTTAGGCTCGCCATCTTCCGCACATAAAAATTGGCTTATTTGTAAGAAATAGAAAAAGTGTCCTTGTTCATAATATACACATACAACAATGTTCAATTGTTCATAATATACACATACAAGAAACCCCTGAAGAAAGCGCAAACATTGGCTCTATCTTTTGTAACTTTAAGGGCATGCTTGCATCTGAACTCGTGCAGCAACCACGCACGTTTCAAGTATCATTGGCAGCAGTTCATGTTTTAGTTCCTGTAAGAAAGTGCTGCAGCAGAGCATGCCACCATAATGGGCCATCACGTTATACAGGAATTTAAAGGCTCTGATACTAATGATATGCTTGTTCTTAGTTTTAACAAAAATCGATAACAATAATTGAGTTTATAAGGATTTTAATAATAGATCTAACATGAATAGGGGTTAACAGTAATATTGTTCTTCACTCCCCAGATCTTTCAACAAAGTTCCTTCAACCGACCTTTTTTTAGTTCACCTCACAGAAAACAAAACAAAAAAATCCTATGATAAATTAAGTGATGGGAGACTGTATAGGAGTAAAGAAAAAGTGAAATACTGTTTCAGTACATAATAGCTTTTGAAAAAGCAAGCATGGTCAAAATCCAACAATGCAAGGAATAAAGTGTTAAACTGTCTGCAATCAGTGCATTAACATAAATATAATCCTTTTCTTGCACTTAATGATTGAGTGCTTCAAAAAGCACGGAAGAAAACCATGAATAACAGGCCAAAGCCTTACTTTTTCCAAACAGCTTTCTAGCAGTTCAATTTTTACTACATCATGTGAATATCATAGTATTTCTTGTTTCACTTTCTAAGTTTAAATTTATTTCAAGTGTAAATAAATTTTTATTGGACTACTGGCTCTTTGTGAGGTCCCATCAACAACTGTTATTAAAATTGTGTTTTTTTCGTTTCTTTAGAACTTCAGCTTTACAAGTTCAATTTGTTACTATATCATTGTAATTATATATAATTTGTTGTTTCACTTTCTGAATTTTAAATTTATTTCAAGTGTAAATAATTTTTTATTGACTACTGGCTTCTTTTATGAGTCCCATCAACAACTGTTATTAAAATTGTGGGTTTTTTTTCGTTCTTTAGAAGTTGTGAAAAGATCATACATTTCTATATTGGTTAATATTATTTATTCATGTTTCAGCACAAATTTGTGAATCTATTTCTGATCATATTGTATCATTGCCTATAAAAATCTCTGTTGGGAATTTGGATCCAAATTGCAATATACAAAAGTTATTCTATATGCGAGGTCATCGAATTGGAAATCGTAACATTATGATAAAGGTCTGTATATATTTTCCATATTGACTTGTATATGTTTGAAATATTTTTATTCTAAGAATTTCTGTTGTGACTACTACAGAAGTTGTATTATTCTCATTCGCAGTTATTATAAACTTTTTACTTTCTCATTACCACTTACACAGTAGAAAGAAAGTTGTATAATTCTGCACGAAAAAATATATGTCTTGTGTATTTTCGGACTCTGGTAACAAAAAAGTGCTAAATTTAGAAGAAAAAAATTATCTAATACGTGGTGTATCCAGAATCCATGTTTTGTGGAAAATAGAATGATGGCACTACATATGTTTGTCTGACTGTCCATCTGAGTGTCTGTCTCTCCATCTGTGGAAAAAGCTAGCAGCTAAACAGTTTTTCCAATTTTCTCTAAATTGGTTATTTTCCAGTCGATATGGATGATGTCGTGGCCCCATTAATTTGAAACCGATTTTTTTAATTTCAGAGATACTTAACACAAAACCTCTGGGATATTTCCAAAATTTTCAAAAAAATTTCTCCATAATTTTTTTATTTATTTGTTTATTTATTTGCATCTAAACAGGCAACTGCCCAATATTACAGGTTTATTCAATATTTATAATTTGATACTAAAAATAACGAAAATATAAAAATGCATTTTAATTATAATTGCAGAGGTAAAGTGACTTCGTATAATTAACAAATTGACTAACAGAGATACAATTTAAGTTTAGGAATAATACTTGTTATAGATATAGATCTGTAATTTTTTACATATGATCGGTTATGAGATTTATATATTAGAGTTAAGTAACTTTTTTTCCAAATTGAAGGAAGGATACCTTCATTCAGAGATTCTACAAAAAGTACATGAAGAATCGGTGTTAAGTTGCTGGTATTGAATCTTGCTAATCTTGCTGGTATTGAATCTGGCCCAACACCTGTCTTAATGTCCAATTTATTAATCGATTCATATACATCATTTTGGGTTATCTCAATGTTACCAATACCGAAGGCAGAAGCATGATCAATGTAATTGACATTAGTAGATTGGTTATCATCATTATAATTACTATATACGGATTCAATGTAATCAGCAAAAATATCTATTTTTTGAGGGGTGTCAACTGTTTCATTGTCATCAACAATATAAATTGCAATACCATTTGTTCCTCTTATAATCTTAGTAAATTTGCAAAATGTCTTTGTTAGATGAAATAGAATTTTCAATATTTATTACATAATTTTCATTATCACGATGAGGTTTTGATTTACATTTTTTGCATAATTCTGATAACTTACTATAATCGAAAGGATCATCTGTATTTTAAGTGAGCTTTAAACTTTTCGTTTAATATTAATTTCAATTCTTTAGAGAACCAAGGAGGGTATTGATGAGGAAATGCATACATTTTGGGTACATGTTTTTCCATCAGTTCATAAATAAAGTTATAAAAATAATCAACACATGATTGAATAGAGTGAATTTCAAAATAGCTACTCCATTCAAATGAGCAATAAGTTTTTGCTAATTGACATAAAGTCTGCACGGTTATAATTGTTTTTCGTGAGTAACGTATCGAGTGTCCTGTAGTTTTCTTTAATATTTATCATAAGTTCCAGTGTCGGATGATAGTAATCACAAGGAACAATAGGACAGTCAGATTTAATTACATTTGAATAATTAGAAGCAAATATTAAGTCGAGAATTTTAGAATTATCATTTAATATTTTGTTTAACTCCCAAAATAATTCTTCTTATTTTTTCAGTGCACCATCCCATTATTCCCAAAATCATTACTTTATCTGTTGAGTTTATCTCCTCACCATCTATCTGTATTCTCTCTTCCTTACCTGTTATTTAAGTGCAGCTTGAGTCCTGATTTCTGATTTTCTTCTATTACTGTCGTTAATAGCTGTTCTAGTTTTTACTCGCTTTCTGCCATTATCGAAGTGGCATCTCCAAAACAAATATTAATTCAACATCCTCCAATTCTTAATGTTAATTTCACGCAGTTTCATTTTAGTCATGACATGTCCTGTTGAACAGTCGTGTAGTGAAGATACTTCCTTGTCCAACTCCTTCGTTGACTATAAACCACTTAGTGTTCCTTCTGCTACTTGAAATCTAGCTTCTTGATCTCTAAAGAACTGTAGTAATGCAGTTACTATATGCCCTGGTATGCTCATATTCCTTAAAGTTATCCATTACATCCACACAAGTCCGGTACAGGTTATCCATAATGGATCCAACAGGTCCACACTTGAAAGCTTTAATGTTGTCCAAAAATCATATGTACAGATTCTTATGGATTTCTCTGCTCTCTTCCATTATCCAACGAAGTTTTGCTACCTGGTCCTTGTTTCCTCTGCCCTTTTTGAACCCAGCTTGTTCTACTGGAAATTCTCTTTCCTTAAAAAATTTATGTGTATTGTTTTTATAAGCATTATCTTGCTTGCATGGCAAATCAATGCTATTTTTCTATTAATAATACATTCCTGATTGTCTCTTTTCTTTGTTATAAGAACAAAAATTGTTATCTTCCATTCAAATGGCCTCTCCTCCATACCAAATTCCAAAATTCTAAGATCTTTCCTACAATTGAACCTGCAGTTTCTATCAGTTCAGTTGGTGTTTCTTATGGCCCAGGAGATTTACCAATCTTTAACTGTTTCAGTGTCGATCCGGATAGCCAAGATCACTAAATCAGTAGTGTCGTGGCGATCTCGGATCAAAGGATCGCAGCTACGAATCCCGCATTGGATCATCCCTTCACCCTTCATCATCATCATCATCATCATCATCATCATCATCATCCTATCACTTCGTTGAAGTTGTATTAATAATTCCCTGTGCAAGCAAATGGCCCTTGCCTTTAATGAGATATGCAGTTGGCTAATAATAATAAAAAAAACTGTTTAAGTACCCACATGACTTTTTATATTATTGTGGCTTTGTTTTTTATCTTCATAGCTTCAGTAAAAATGTAAATAATACTTGTAACTGCAGTTATTGGATTTTATTTTATACACTATTACATTGAAAGGCATACATGACTAAATAAAAAAAATCCATGATTAAAAAGAAGTTTTTCTCAATATTATTACTATTTTTAATATTAAAATACATGTGTAATGTCCAAATCTGTCTGATCAAAGAGCATGTCGTACTATAAAGCAATGAAATGCATTTTGTCCATCATAAAAATATAATCTGGCAGCTGCATACCCATTTTGTTTGTTTGTTTGTTGACGTCTTTTACAAGATCTTCACCTCATCAATTGGTGTGAACATGAAAAAAGTACAAAATATATTACTAAAATTATTGGTTTTTCACTTTGAATATTTTATTCCGTGTGACCATGTGTTTTGATTTCTTGCTTCTCATTTTCATCTCCTTTGATGTTCCCTCTGTCATACCGTGATGATGTTAATATTTTTCAGAATTTTTTCCACTGAGCAAATTTACTAAGTTTTTCCTTTATTATTATTATTATTATTATTATTATTATTATTATTATTATTATTATTATTATTATTATTATTATTACTTTTTTAATGTTGCATCATTGTTGATGCAATGGGTCTCTTTAACCCTTGTTTGGCGTTGAGCGCTTTGCCTGAATTAATCCTCCATTACTGAATAATTACTATCATTACTGAGTAATTACTTAATTTATCAAGTCTCCTGATGTTGCAGTCAGTCATTGCCTTTTATCTGTTAGTCCATTGGGTCAACACCAATAGATCCCAGGGTTTCTTGCTGGTCCCCCAACCAGAATCCTGCGAGTCTCGAATTCGCTTAATCTGTTGTGACTTCACGGAGTGTAGTACATGAATTCTGCAAGCGATGCCTTCTTGCCTTGGTTTCCTTGTCTTTCTGTTCATGTGGTGAATGTATGTCTGTTGGTATCTAAAAAAAGTACTGAATTGAATAATGACATTGTAGTTACAATGTTCTATTTAGAGAGCTTATATTTTGTTTTAATTACATGTGTTATAATGTAAAATGTACTAATTGTGCTAATCTTTTTTACAGGTGTCTTACAATTTGTCAGTTGTACAAGATGGACTGGACAACAATAATTCTTGTATTAAAGAAACGACAGTGATGATTCCTGTGGTTAAACCATTTGACATTACTGCAAAATTCTTTTCTCTAAAATTTGAACCAATAGCAAAGAGCTTTGCTAAAGAACCGTTTGTTGTGATGCCTCATGTCAGTTGTGTGTCACCTTGTTCTCTTGTTATTGAGAATTCATCTATTGAACTGGTCAGTATTTATTGTTTAGTGGTTTGTAATCTTTTGTAACTTACGTTCTAAAGAAATGGTGCCTTGTGACAGTAGTAGCAAGTTTGTGTACAAGCATTTGCTTGTACATCGGGCTTGATGGTTAACTCTGAAGATACAGTAAAATACCAGTGTAGCGAAATTTTGGGGACCTCAGAAATTCATTTGTTATAGTGAAATAATCCTATTTTTAAGCATATATGTTATGGATTATTTATCGCAAGATCTACAATTACTTCAACATGAATTTACACTTATTGTTAATCTTAATATTTTTTTAAACAATAGCGGGTTTTCTGTCCTAATATTCATTTCTAAATTATAACATTTTTTGTGTTGTTCTTGGGCTGTACTCAATGTTCAGAACTTTTGAAAAAATCTGTTATTTTTTTCTGTTCGCTTCCAGCGACAAAAGACTTCCAGTCACAAGAAAGTCGCGAATCACTCCACATGAATTCAAAACCAATTTTGGTACATCATTCACGACTTAAGAAAGTCTTATGAAGAGTGTGCGCCATGATTGTTGCCTGCATTTAAGTCAAAAGCTGCCCTTCACTTTGAGACAAATCTTCCTCTTCCACCTTATCGTCTCCTTCTGCCAGTAATAATGTCTCCCACAATGTATCGTCAGTGATTTCTTTTTGGGCTATCACATCACAATCCACAATCACAGAGTCCGTGATATTTGCATTTTTTGGCACATCCAACTTTCTGCACAAACTTGTCCAGTGTTGCATTTCTCCTTCGAACACTCTGTGACTACTTCTTCCGCGTGAACAACTCCAACTCTGTGAAATCAGTTTACAATAATGTTTTCATCAATTTCTTTCGTGCAGCATTTATTATTTGCTTGGCTCCCAAAATGTTTATATTTATGTCCCTCCCTGAGGCAATATTGCAAAGCATTCGTTGGACCACACAAGCATGATAATGCTACTTCATGGCATAGATTATGCCTTGATCCAGCGGTTGCGGGATCAATGTTGTACACGGAGGCTGGAACAAAACCTTCACATTGTCTAAATGACAATGGGAGGAGCAGTTATCTATAATGAGAAGAATTCGCCTCTTTTCTGCCTTCATTTGTTGTTCCAAGATCAATAACTATTCTTCAAAAATTACAGACGTCATCCACGTTGTTGTGACTGTATTCACCTAATAGATATTTGACTACCTTTAAACATCTTGGCTTGTCAGACTCGCCGATGATTAGTGGCTTCAGTTTGTCTGGCCCCGTAGGGTTTGTGCATAAAAGCACAATAACTCATTCTTTCGAGCTCTTTCCTTCAACACATTCATTTCCCTTAAATTCCAATGTTTTTTAAGCGGTACTTTATAAAACAATAGATGAATTTTTATGATTAGATACATCTTTTAGAGATTCTCGAAGAGTCTCCAACCACCATAAAGACGCCACTTCTTTTGGAGCATCCTTAGATTCTCCACTAATAAGTTGGTAAGAAATGCCATTCCGCACCTGGAATCTATGGAGCCAACCAGTTCTTGCCATATCTTCCGCAAACCCAAGTGAACATGCAAAGGATTATGCATGCTCACATAGCAGAGGGCCATTTATGGGAATATTTTTTGCTCTTATTTCTGCAAACCAGGTATAAACTGTTTTGTCGACTTCCTTGTAGTCAGCCATCCTAATTTTCTTACGTTCTAGGGTGGAGGGCGTTAGCATCAATATTCTTTTCCAACTTGCTCTTCTGCCTAATAAAAGTCGATAGTATCAATGGACTAATACCATATTTCATAGCTATGGCCCTTTTCTACCCTCCTTTCTCCACTTCCTTAAGAATGTTCAATATTTCCTTTAAGTAAAACTGTTTTTGCTTGCATTGCATCTTGAGGTACCACACACCACTAGGCACACAAAATTTCGTTCAATTTACTAACATGTTCATGTTAACACTTCAGCGAGGTATGCCGTCTGTAGGTGGCAATTTCCTGGAAGCAAGATGCTGGTCGCTTAACGATGCCTTGTACAAACAAGCAGTGTGTTAAGGGGAGTTTCTGGCTTCTTTTCATGTATTTTAATACAAATATATTAATATTGATTGAAGTGTTTATGTTTCTTTGTAGATGTTTTTTAATGAAACAATTAATTTACAATACATTGTCTCCTTTGTACTATGTATCGTATAAAATTATTGCGACTCTCAGACATACTATAAATGAAACGATAGAAATCGCCTTAATTGAAAACCGCTATTGCTAAATAAGGACCACAATTTATGGATTGACAATTAATCCCCCTCATTAGCTGCGATGTTTAAAAAATGGGGTCAAATTATGTAGGAACATGATGTTTGAAGAAAAAATGTTCTTCAAATATTTCGAGAAAAGAAATTGAAGCGAGTTGAGTACATCACCCAACACCCGGGTCCCGTATCAATGTTGAAATTGATAGATTACAAGAATGTTTCTGTAATAAGCACCTAGCACAAGGATGAATTCAAAACAGTCATTACAAAGAGAAAAGAAGAAAAAAAATTCTGTTTGTGTTCGTGATTACAATAAATCTATGGAAGGGGTAGATCTGAAAGATCAATAGTTGTAAATATATCTCATTGAAATGGAGAAAAGCAAGAAATGAAATATGAAAACGTTCAGAAGATTATTAAATGTCACTGTATTGAATACATTTATTATTTGGGAAAAGAATCTTACTGGGATAAAAAATAAAATCTTTGAAATTTCCCTTTTGATCTGATCTAGCAATTGTTATCTGCTCATTCACTAAAGAGCAGTAAATGAATGTCATTTGGTGAGTGGTGTACATTGTTGGTTAAGAAGATACTTTCTTAAAAGAATTACACGTCAAGGTTACAAAATTAAACGACAGAAATGATATAAATAAGTACATAAAAATAAAAGTAAAGAGCTGAGAGCTTGTCCTTACTGGAACGGTGCCCACTTGTGGCAGATACCTGGTTGGAGGGACATCCCACTAGCTATGGGTCTGTTGGCGCCAGGTATCACCATCTAAGGGGGAGGGGGGAAGATCACTACCACCTTCTGATCAAAAAACTCAAGAAAGTAATGTTGTAGCAATACTAGTTTACATTTCATATTATATTGATAATATCTTCTTGCCATCATTCTCTGACAAGGTCTGCAAATCTTTCAAATGAAATATCTTAGGTCTTTCTTCATCATAAAATAAAATTGCTAGTTACTTTTGAAAGGGCTACTAACATTACTTTGTATTTTAAGAATATAAATTCATTGTTAATCAAATTCAAAAACAATTCAATTTAGGGGAACTTGGGGAAATAATGGAAAGTCGACATTAGGAATTCCCAGGGTATGTCAGATAAATGTTCGCAAGCTGGAAAAACTTTAATATTAGCAAATTTTTCATTTCTGTCTCTTGTTCATAAGACAATGTTTTAGTTTGGTGTCAGTCATGAAATGCTTAGAACTACGAAATAATCTTATTTCATATTTCAAAGTACTTACAATGTGTCTTCACAATGTTTATTATTCTAAATGTCACATCAATGGCTACTTATTCCTTTTTATATTGTAAATTCATGTAATTATAATTTGTAAATATGAATTTGACTTATTATATAAATGTTACGTGTTACTTTTCTCGCCAATTATTTCCATTTTTCTGTGTAATTTTAGTCTGGTCACATAAAATCAGTAGATGATGAGGTGAAATCTCAATTAAAGTCGATTAGCCTTAAAAATGGGGAAACTGGAACTGAAGCATATTGTGTAACAGCTGATCAAGCTAATGACCAACCAGTTGCATTAGGAATTTATACTCTCCAATGGCGGAGGTAAGTAGGAGTTTTTGAAATATTTGAAATTTTTTTTAATAACTTGTTAAAATTGGTTCTTAAAAATTAAGAATATTTTTGTGTTTAGAGAAGATACACCAGAGTTGGTTACAAGCAGTAGTGTTACACTACCAACGGTTAGAGTGGAAAGTGCTCCTTTGTTCATAGAAATGTGTTTACCTGCCCATGGTTGGGTCCGCACTCCAATGGCAGTTTCTTACCACATACGAAATCATACCACTTGCCTTCTTGATTTGGAACTCAATATGGAAGCTAGTGATGCTTTTATGTTTGCAGGTCACAAACAAGTAAGTACATTGTAACAGAATACAATGCAAATTATGAAATTGGTTGTTTTTCTGTACAAAATAAGTTACAAATGTTATGCACAATGTTTTGAATACTCCACTTAAGACAAACAAAATTCTTGAATGAAGAAAGCTTTGAGGGAGAAGTGAAATGAAATCTATTCATGTTCATTGGCTGGAACTCTGGCACAACGTGAAAAATATGATTTTGAAGTTACGAGTGATATTTTATTACATTTCATATTATTATTATTATTATTATTATTATTATTATTATTATTATTATTTATTTATGACACCTGAATTTCAACTAACAACTTATAACTCAACTTTTGTCTCAAAACTTCATTTTCCATGTTGTTTCAAGTTGTTCCAAAAGTGCAGACTATAAATTCTATTATGTTCTTCTATTTAATGTAGAAAATTTTAGATTATTAATGCTTAATGTAACAAAGTAGTATTATGTTGTAATTATACAGTTTTGAAATATTTTATTATCAATTTTTTTTTTTAAGTTGCAGTTGCGAATTTTACCAGAATCAGTCAAAACATTGGACTACAATTTATATCCACTATTATCAGGATTGGTTGCACTTCCTAGATTACGACTTACTATATCAGATAAAAATGATTATCCTGTAAAACAACCACAGTTAACAGAATTACTTGATCGTTCCTTGCCATCTCATGTGTATGTCATGGTAAGTCTCCTTTATCCCTCCTTTGATTCTTAGTTAATCATGTAAAAGATGACGTAAATAAACTGATGTTCTAGTTAGAAATTTTACTTCAAGGTAAATGAGTGTCTGAAAACAATTTTTTACTCACAATTTTTTAAATCTTATTGGATAATATGGAACAGATATGAATGATTGTTGTTGTTTGTTTGTTTGTTTGTTTTTTTAGTTTAGTTCTTTTTGAATGGTCTCTTAACAAAAATAAAATCATTATTTTCAGCCTCAGGGAAAAGGAAACCCAACTCCAATTGCCATTCCATCTTGAAGCAAGCAAAGAAAGAACAAAAATTCACAAAATATGCATTTATGTGATAGTATTTATTTGTAGTATAACTATCATGTATTTACAACTCTCCATGTCATGAATATTTTTTGTTATGTTTTTAAGCCAACAATGTTATCCAAATGGAACTTGCTCAAAGTTTGTTTGTATTATTTGTGCATATCCAAAACTTATGTATATTAATTGTACATTTATCCATTTAAGCATCTTTTGTATAGTACTACATTTACTTATTGTTTTATTTCACAAAATGTAAAAATGTAAGTTTGAAGTGATAATATTAATATGAAAAAAATAATTGTTTTTACTTAATTATTTTAATAGTGCTTTTCAATTTATTTATAATATTGAATGACATTTTACACTTCTTTTTGAGTGCACAAAGAGAAAATCAGTAAATCACGAATGAAAAGTAAGATTTTGTGTGAAAAATGGTGAAAATTCAAAATGTTTAAATGGATTATTGCATGATAAAATCTGGAAACATCACAAGTGTCATTCAAAAGAACTTAAAATGCTATCAAGAAATAATAGTAATCATTTGAAAGTGAATTTGAAGTACTGAAATTCATAATATTCTTAAATTGGAAGAGTAAAGATGGAAAAACTAGATAAATTAGACAATGATTGTAAATATTTAATCTGAATACCTCAAAAGCAAGAAATGATTACATGTCCTGCAGATAGTCATTGGAACTAGTAAAGATAAATATAATGTGGGGTAAACACAACATTGTTACACACTTTCTTTTTATACAGTATATTATAGGAAAAATAATTCCATTGAAGCAAAAACCTAACAACCAAACATTAGCAAAGGAAGGAAATATAATGTAGTTAAAAAATATTACTCACAAATCTCTAGCAGATTCTAGGTAATGCAGGTGATGTCTACTTCAAACTGAAACTTCTAGCTTGACAGAATTTTTTCTTTGCATTTTATGCGTACTTATTCATGACATTCAAAGGAAATAAAATTCTTATGGGACTTTTATAGTCCCATAAGATCAGAGTTAATGTGTATGTGCACTTTGTATAGTTAAATTAAAACAAAGAAGTTGCTTTTTATTCTCTCTGTTCTAGTTTACCAAATATTCTAAAAGAAATACACAGGTGCTATAATAAAATATATATTTCAGTGATCAACAATACAAAAAGTTAAAGAAGCAATGTTGTTGCAATACTTTGATTGGATATTTTATTTTAATTATATTTACAAAGTCTTTAATTATTTAACTAGAATACTAGGAACATGTTTAATCTTTTCTTTGTACACTTCGTACAAAAATTTTAAATGACAGTTTAAAAGCAAGATTGTCTTATGTAATTGAAAAGCATGCAGATTGTTATGAAGAAATTTTCCACAAGTGAGAAGTAACTTGGTTCAGATATATTCCTGTCATCAGATTTACAACCCTCCAGTTAAGGCTCTTGGGAGATGCATTGTCTGCAAGTGACTGCATTCTTTGATTAGTTTGACCTAGAAAATCTCCTTTAGTTCCATGCAATGTTGGCAGTGTAATCTGATGGTCAATTTGAAATGATTCTGTTTGATTTTCATTTCCATAATGCTCCTTTTTTGCCTTATTGTTTGATATTTTGTCAGAGGGTGTAACTGGCATACAGATTTCTTTTCTCAATTTATAATATTCATCACTAGGACATGGGGTCATTGTAATGTTTAACCATGTCATGTGCAATTCATCAAGAAGACTCTCTTTCACTTCAAAGTCCATTATTTTGGTTTGATAACCTTCAACAGAAGCCTGAAAAGAGAAATTGTGTATTTAAAAAAAAATAAAAAAATGTATATATGTTAGAAAACTACCAAATTAATATGGGACAACATTCTATTTCTCCCCCTTGAAGCTCTAAAAAAAAGCCCATCAAAAATAAAAGAAAGAAAAAAATTTAAATCATTTAGTGTTTAAGCTACTATTTGTACAATCTATTTTGCCTCTGGTCGCAGACATAGTGATTACTTGTAAGATTTGCAAATTCTTGTGGACATAATAATAATTATTATTATTATTATATCGTTTATCATTATACTTATTCAAAACTATTCAGGCTATTGATAATAAAAACCCCTTCAAAATGATTTTTAGTGTGCTACAGTTCTCAAAATTGTGGTATTAACTAAATAGTTTTCCTGATTGGAGTGTGATGAATTGATGCTCAGGTTTTCATTGAAGGATATTACATTCTGTTCGGGTATTGTATTTTTCTTTTCTCAGAATTCAATAGTTTATTCCTCACTTATTTAAAAAAAAACTTTCTCTCTCTTCCTCTCTCTCTCTTTGTCTCTCTCACTGTATATTTTTATTTGTATGAGTACTGTACCCAAAATCTCAACATTTTCAAACTTTTCTCAAAAATTGGTTAAAATTTTTGGATTATACTTTTTTGTTTTTTTGGATAGAGCAAAGGAAAATTAAAAATGGTGCAGGTCTTATTTTCGAAAATTACATAAGCGCAAATCTTTTTTATTGTCTACCTATAACTACATTCATTACAATAATGCAAGGAAATATGTGCTCACATTGAAAGGAGTATTTCTATTAGTATTATCTTCTTGCAACAAGGGTTAGTGGATATGAGAATATCTCCATGCAAGGGATTTTAATGGCCAGTCTCAGGTAACTTTCTCAATTCCGAGAACAAGAGAATAACCAACATTTGTCTGCCTTTCCCACCACTTTTTTACCTTCCTTTCTTACTTATTTTCTTTTTCAGGCATCGAATGCATTTTTATGGAATTTGTGGAGGGCCCAACACGTTCGCTCCACGCTTAATGTGGGCTACTGGAATGATGGTGGGGCAAAACTGAAAGGTAGCCCAGATTAAAGAGATTAGAAAACTAACAAGTCCAAGAAAATCTGTGCCAACCTATGAGTACCAGACCTCACTTTAAGAAAATATGCACAGAAGACACTTCTCCTCATAAGTCATGCTCAGTTTGTAATTGTGTGTGATGTTTGACATTAAATAACTAAATACTTTTAATAGCCAGCTTGCTAGTAAATTGATTCTACGAAAGTAGTACAAACATACCACACTTGTGTATGCGCAAGCATGCACCACGCACACAATATGAAACAATGTCTGCAAACTTGCTGATATTAAAAATTTAAGTTGTTGAAGTGAAATATTTGTTCATATGTTTAAGATCAAGAATTTGGATATCTGAAGATGGGAGAAACTCTAGCTTCTGAAAATCCAATAAAATATAAATACTTTTAATAGCCGCTTGCTAGTAAATTTGACTTCTACACTAAAAAGTAGTACAAGAAAACCACACTTGCGTATGCGCAAGCATGCACCACGCACACATATGAAACATGTCTGCAAACTGCTGATATTGAAAGTTTAAGATTTGTTGAAGTGAAATATTTGTTCATATGTTATAGAAATCAAGAATTTGGGATATCTGAAGATGGGAAAACTCTAGCTTCTGAAACATCCAACAAGATAATAAGACAGATAATGATTTATTTGTAATTTTTTGTACTAAATGATCGTCTTTAAAAAAAAAAAAATAGGGCCTTTATATAAATATAACATTAAGAAAATTGTGCATCAAAAATTCAGTAAAATATAGGCATATGCTATGATATTTCTTGTTCTCTTGAAAATTATAGAAAAGTTATGGTCAACCTAAAGAAAATAGAACTTTTTTTTTTCAAATGCCAACATTTTTATTATGTATGTATCCTGGAGATTTAGTAAATAACCAATTGGTATCTGAAAAATTCAGTTGGATTTAGGTGACTCAGTTAAGGATTTTTTTTTCAAAACTATTCTCAACTTACATCATTGTAAATGTTCGCAATCTTATTTTATTTATCATTCTAGGTCCACTTAAAAGTGATAAAAGAAAAATTGCTTGTTGAAAAAATAATGAAATATTTTTGTTCATCATTGTTATCTCATACCTGAATTTTGTATTTTCCAGGTAACAAAATTCTCCAATATTCTCCATATTTTGTACTGCTAAATGTAATGTTTCTTCCAACAATCATTAGTTTTGCATGTGCAATAGTTAAATTTGTTATTCCATTTAATATTAAACCTTGAACTCCCATGTGCACTTGACTTAAAAATTTTAACATAGGCTGAAAATATATCAGATAACATTGTTAATTAATTTGGCTGCCAAAGTAATGAACTGAATAGTTCTAGAATCTATGCATGGGTATGTCTTCTCTATGAATATCTTATCAACAAAATGAAATTGAGTAATGTGAATTGAAGTAATGTTAAGAAATTATTCTGATTTCATATCTTGATTAATATCTTCTTGCAAATGATCTTAACTTTGCTTAAAAATTGCATACATGTTTACCTCTCTGTTATCTTTCCAATATATTGATAAATCTGCAGGATGTGGGTATCGACAACAAGATATGACGAGAGATAATTCCATGCAACCATGGATAACATAATTAAAATCTTGCATTGTACCTAAAAATATTCACAAGTGATTTAGGAACATTGGTTTCAAAAATACTCATGACAATTGATATAAATTTCTAAGAACAATTTTGTCAATTTCAAGAGCTGAGTGTGGAGTGAGATAGGGGTTATAATTATTGCTATTAGACTCAAGTTTCCAAAATTATGAATATTAGCAATGAAAAGATTTATTTAAATTAGGCAATTGGCATTTATTTACAGATCAAATTTGGTTGGAATAAAAGTTATACTGTAACAGAATCGATAATAAAATGCCAAAGTGTGTACAATTTCTGAAAGATTATTTGGAGATTAGATGTAATTTTGAATATTATTGTGAATGCAACTTAAAATTTACATTATAAATTCCAAGTTTTTAGTTCATTCTCTTTTCAAATCAGGAACTAATAATTATTGAGCATGGTAGAAATACTATTATCAACTTTCGTTACTTAATTTTAAAACTCTAGCTAGAATAAACTGTTTTCTACTTTAAAAGACTAAATTCTGAAAGGCATTTCACTTACTGTCTCAAAAAACATTTTCATTACCGAATGTAATTATCGTATTGGTAAACACAAACCATCCCAGTCTCCTTTTTTGAAAATACTTTTCAAAGATTTGAGGACTTAATTATTTATAACAGTCCTAAGAAATAAAAACCTTTTTTGCTTAACCATTCTGCTCCATTAATTGTCCCATTTGCGAACTTTTTCTTAATTGTGGGACATTGTGCCTCCTTGTGCATTCGTGGATGTGTAGATGCATAAACTGATGCCAGATACTTAAATGTATCATCATCTGGAGTCAGTGAAGGTCCTTCTGTAACTAAATTTAAATAAATTTTTAATAATTCCATATTTGACATTATTTTTGAATTTGAGAAATACTAAAGTAATATATTGTAAATTGTTGTAGCTTACATATCGAAATATTATGAACTTAATGTTAGTTTCTATAGGTTTTTTTATTAGGAGCTGTTTTTTATGACTAGTAATATTTTATATACGCAAATGCATATTTAGGTCTTCTTTTCCTGTCTCACTCTTACTTCGTAATAAAAGTATTGTAAACGTGCGCCGGGCAACGTGGAATTTTCGTCAGAAAAACTCTTTATTACCGGCCCTGCTAATGAAAAGGTAAATAGATCTTGTTCCTCTATTAAGTAAATTACTTCATCTAACTTTTTCAAAAGTCAGAATCCATGTTTTGTGGGTCCTTGATACCAAAAAATCGTTTAACGGTAAAATGTGTCCCGTTATCGCTATTGCCTAAACCGTTTAGCCGTTGTTCTCCAAAATGTATATTTACCAATCGATTCAAATGAACTCGGGGCTCACTGAGTTTGAAAATGATATTTTGATTTTTATTTTATTGTTGATTCTTTACATGAAGCCTCAACAATATTTTCAAAAGTTTCTCAAAATAGGTTCTAAATTTGTTGCTTTCACTTTGTTCTCGGATAGCATAGACGCTTAAGAGAATGGCGCAGATCTCATTTTCGTTGATCTCTCTGAATGTTCGAAAACTATAAATTTAGAAATAATGCGAGAAAGTAAGTGCTGTTGTAGTACTACTGGTTTTCTTTTTCGCCCTTACTTCGTAAGAAAGCAAAGTATTGTAATCGTGCGACGTAAAACTGCGAATTTTCGACAGAAAACACTCTCAGTCCCTGGTAAAGAAAAAGTGGGTAAATCTTGTTCCTATGCACTACTTTAGTAAATTACTTTCTCTAATGCGTTGTGCAGTCAGAATCCTTGCACTTGTTTAAGTGTCTCAAGGCATCAACTGATGTCACTGCAGTTCCTATAATCGGGAGATTAGTGGGTTCGAGTGGGTGGCGGCAGAATTTTTGACACCAGCTGACAGTTAGGTTGAAATCAGCTGCTGGACATCTGGAGGAGAATTCTAGTACCGTCTGCGCTGATCGATAGTTTTCTGTGGTTCCACCGGTCAGCACCAGGCGAATGCTTGAGTAGTACCCTAACTAAAGGGCCATGGAACGCGCGATCTTTCTTTCCCATTCCTTGTCCTATATCTCACTTGCCCCTTAATCACGCACGTTCACGTAATACACTTTCATACACGCTGGAGACCAGTAGGGACTGAGGCAATGGCACCCCGCTGGTTACCTGGTTTGAAAATTGTTCGACATAATGGAGAGATTTTTCAAACTTATACGAGTGTTTTATAAATGTATCCCACATCATTAATATTCTTATTAGAGGTGTTTTCACTTTCTCACCCTTTCTTGTCCTCAAAAAGAGAACGTGTGATCGTGCGCCGGAAGAAGGCGAATTTTCGACAGAAAAATGTTCATTGTCCGCCTCTGGTAACGGAATAAGATGATAAAGCATGGATAAATATATAGTGGATATACATAGTAAATTACTTCGTCTAACACGTAGTGATGTCAGAATCCTTGTTTTGTGTGTGTCCTTAAGGCCGAAAAATCGAATGACTGCAAAAATTCATAGACGTGTAATGTTGCGCGAAATATAGGTCACACCTTCAGTAGTTGAAATTGAGCCATTTTTTAGAAAGCAGTTAAAAATGCCTTCGTGGTTTTATGTAAAGTACACCCCAAAGTTAAAACGATTTAAAATTTAAGGTCACAAAACGTGGAATCTGACTACCGAAAATGTTTGAGAAAGTAATTTATTACATAGAGGGAAAAGAAACATCCACTTCTTCGGTACCAGGAATATACAATACCAACTTTTCTCCCGAAAATCGCCGTTTTCGCTTCAGGATTGTATTTTTTAATCTCACGTATGTAGTATGAGAGAATGTAAAAATGGAATATATCCCAAAAGTTAATATTATTTATATCCGTTCTATAACATTAGAAAAAAGTTAGTTTTCACGGTAATTCGCGAAGAACACCCTCATCTTGCTTCACCATTCCTTGAAGTAGAAATTATTTGTGCACTTTCCCTGCTTTTGAAGCGTATCTCAAACACGGCGAAGAAATCAACCAGTGCTTAATGTTTTGAAGTTCCGTACAATTCACCATTAAATGCTTTTTGATTCGTTCAAATCGCGCTATTAGACGCTGAGTAACTGAAGGGAAATTTTTAAATTAGTTCCTTTGGAGAAGTTGAGGCAGTGAAGGATAGGCGGAGTGATTATACTGGAGCGTGGCATTGCAAAGTGGGGCGCAGCTTTTCAGAACTAAATAAAATTGCTTCCATTGTACTCTAATAGGTTTTTGTGGATTTGTTTTAATTTGTATTCTTTTATGGTTTCTTTTAGAAATTATGGCTAGAAAACATGCAAAATACAAGAATGGAAACCATTTGCTACTTGCTGCCATATATTTTTCGTATTGTGTTTTCCTTCGGACATATTTAAAAGCTTATAAGCTGCATCCCAAGCTAGGAGAAAAGCAAAACTGTGCATGAAATATAATGTATTAAATTTTAAAGAATGGACAATAAAGTAAGAAAATAAGTATTGTCAAGTCATATTCAAATGGAGTTAAAGTAACTTACTATTGTATGGTTTACTATCGTAAGGGTAAGTAACAACAAGAGCACTGGTATGTATACTTCCAGAGAGTACAAATGGGATATCATGTAGCCATTTCATAATTGCTTTAGTTTCTTCCTGTCTTGGTATATCGTTACTTTCAAAAATGTCAGGAAAATTAGAATTCAGATCCACGTCTCGAATATTATTTCTGTTATGTAAATGAGAAAATCAATTTTAAAACATCAACCATTTAAAACATCTGCCAATTAAACATTCTTTAATGATTCAATAAACTTGCCTGTATCCTGACAGTTCACCGCAGCTCACAGAAGCTTTCTCAAAACCATCTGGATTTGCACTTGGCAAAAGGTGAATCCTAGTATTATTCAAAAGCCATTGGACTCTTCTATTTGAGGTGTAATGTGAAAGTAAGTACTGTAAAATGAAATGAAAAAAATCAATTTTATTTTCCTATTAAGAATCTTTGATGAAATCATACATTTCATGATATAAAGTACTTGTCGTATTTCTTACCTCTGCCAGCAAAAGTATCATTTCTTTTCCTAGAGGTTCATTGCCGTGAATATTGCCAAGTAACTTTACATTTGGTACTCCAATCCTCTCTCTGGGCGCAGCAGATATTTCCAACACCCAAATATTCCTATCTGATAAAATAAAAATATAGAACACATCAGTAACATTAAGTATAAATATGAATATGCATGTTTAAAATGATAAAGAAAATAGTACCATTGTGTGTCGTCAGCATATGACATTATTGTACATATTGAATTAATCTTTAGCAAATCACCTTTATAATTGGTTCAATATTCATTCATGTCACCAGAATCCTAAAATGAGAATGGGTTGCTTTGGGCTAGTTAAACATAGTCAACATCAGAAGTAATGGCCAACTCAGTCAACATCAACTGAAACCTCGCAATATCTTGTGGGATTCAATTTTGATCTACTTATATAACATTACAAGTTAAAAATAATTTTCCAAAAGTAATTTTCAAAGTTGACAATGTTGAAAATCCTGTAAATATAATTATGATATATGAAACAATATGTGATTTTTTCCCTTAAATGAACAAATATGTATCTTAAAAATATATCTTAAAAAATGGATATTTTTGGATAACCATGTTTCAAAACCGAAAAGCCTAATTTGTAAACATTAACAAATGAACAAACAAATATGTAAATACAAATCCTTGCCCTTTTGATAACTATTGAAAAAGTATATTTGTAAATATAAAGTACGAAATTTGCATGCCAATTGCGCATATAAAAACAAATTTTATGAGACTACATAAAAGAGTGAAAGTGGAATTTGTGAATCTCTTCAGAAGGCGTGCGCCCGTACACGTTTGTGAATACACACTACCGTGAATACACTACTGTGTAGAAGTAATAGCATTTATTTCCATTTAATTTGATCTCCTAAACATGATCTCGTAATTAAGTGATTGGATTTCTTCTGTACAACATACAAGTTTAGATACGAAGGAATATTAATTTATATCTACAGAAAATTCATCTTCAACGTTCTTTTTCTGTACGTTTACAATAATAAAGCATGTTAAATCCCACAGGAAGTTAACATCTAGACTCTATATGGCAACACAAGCGCCGCGCTCTGACAATCCGTGTGTAATACTGCAGCTACCTTACCATCTCTCTACATGCTTTGGTAATGATGATGGCTTTGTTTTTAACACATCAGATTTTTATACATTACTCTGTAACTACGAATTTTATTCACAGAAATCAGAATTTTTCCTTTAACTAATTTTGAGGTCTTTATCATACTGGAAGAGATGCAGTGAAGACTCCAGACAATTTTATTCTGCAATTTATTTTAATTTGGTTTGTCACATAAAATGTTGCGACATCTGGCAAAAGTAATGCTGCTTTAAAAGTTAATACTACTTGGTAATGTTTGTGTTACGCCTGTGGCAACTACTACACCTCCGTACACGCCAGCTCTGCGGGTTGCATTCCAGGAATTATAAGGGTGTCTCTCTCTCTTTCTCTCTCTCGCACTCTCGTTCTTTCTCTCTCTCTCTCCTCCTCTCTCTCTCTCTCTCTCTCTCTCTCTCTCTCTCGCTCTCTCTTTTCCTTCTTTTTTTATTTCTTTTTCTTTGCCATGAACACGGTTTACTTCAAAGTACAAAATATTATCATCACACTACGTTCACAGATTCAAATATTTCTTCGACTTAAGTATGTTTTCTCGGAAATTCATATAGATCGAAGGAACTTGAGCAGAACTCAAAGTACACATCCGTAGAGATAACATTTGAGCTATAATAAGCAACCCAATTACAAGGATTACTTGTTTGCTACATGAAACCTTGTTTTGTAAATAATTTTTATCTTCAGAAAATTAGTTACTTATCTTGTATCAACTATGACTTGGCCTTTTCACAACCAAGAAATGTGTATGGAAACCTCGGACGAAAGTCTGTTTCTGCATAATCAGATACTGAAAGTACATTTTACTAAATGATTTATTTTACATCTTTTCTTTTTTATATATGTACGCTTAAACGGAGTAACATACGTTGTATAGAGATTATGTATAACTATAACAGCACTATAACTAAGACACTATAAAAAAAACTATTAAGACAAAAAACGGCGATTTTTTGAGAGAACAACTGGAATTGTGGGGCCCTAATAAATAAAAAGTTAATAAATTTTTTTCCAATGTGTAGAAAATTACTTCCTCTAACATCTTGTCCAGTCGGTATTTTTGAAAACTTGTACAAGAGCTTACTTTAAAATCTGCTATGGAACAACAGAGTTCATTTATCTTCAATGTTGTAGAAAGACGGCGACTTTTTTTAACTTTTACAATTTTAAAAAGATGTCGAGATTTTAACAAAAAAGAAACGCGCCTCATTTTTTAAAATTTCTATTCGCTATCTGAAGACAAATTTTAATAAAAAAAATTGGTGCCATTTCTGAAAGGAGAGTTATCGTTCATTTTTCATATTTGTTTTTCGTTTCTGAGGCACGGCAATATGAGGTTTTCTCTTGAAAAATCGCCGATTTCCGGCGCAGGATTATCACACTTCGTCTTCTTATAAAGTAAGGCGAAAAAGTAATACTACTTACTCAAAACCGATTTTCCGATACTGTAGAAATTGGTGAAATTCTGGTATTTTGTTGCGGTGACATTTAAATATTCTGTTAACTCCTTGTAAGGATGGTATTTGAGATTTTGGCTCGTTGACGGATCTCGTTCAAATGAAAATTGGGTCGATACATCAATATCAAATAGAAGGCAGCAGAATAAAGTTATATATCGAAGTAAATTTTCCCGTACCATTTCTTCTTCTTTTGATGATCTTCACGTCCTAGAAAGTGAAATAAAATTAATCTATTTAATTAAAATTTAATTACAGCCCCAAAACTGGTGGAAATGACCTGCCTATGGAAACTTTTCCTCCTCTTAGTGTCATCATGCAACAGTTATTTAGATTTGTTAAGAAGTGCATGCCATCTTCATAAGAATTGCAAGTGAAAGAAGTTATAGAGAAAGCGTCCAAGCTTCAAGAATCAATTGCTTGGAAAATTGGGATATATCTTTCATTTCAAACAGCATGGATGCACACCGAAAATTAGATATGTGTGGGATGTGGATGTAGTAAAATCCTCTTTATCACTAGTAGAGGTATGATCGAATTCGGAACGAGCTTACGGATTTCATTGAAAATACAGAGATATTGTCTCAGAGTTAAATTATTGTTCCATTAGTGTGATTTTGTATTTTCTTTTTGATTTTTTACGTGTTGTCTATAACGTTATGTGATAAAAATATTTAATTTTCAGGTGGCTTATTTACCTTCTGTCTCCGGAAATGTACACAAACAGAAGTGTCACGAAGCATAATATATTATTCTGCAAATTGTATTTTAAACAGACTGTTTATGGCAATATTTTTAAACTTACTTTCAGTAAACAGTTTCAGTTACGTAATATTTACTTCCCAATGTTTACATGCTTGCATTCTACTTACGTAGTATGAAGAAAGTATTGTACTACTGAAGCAAAAGATCTCGATTTTTCTCCAGAAAAATTCGTATTGTGAGGCTTTGATATCGTAAAAATTGATAAATCTTGTTCCTACATGTAGTGAAGTACCTCCTCTAATACGTTGTGAGAATCTGCTTTATAGGTCCTTGACACCGAAACATTTGTTAGTGGAGAAACGTTTGTCTACCTTTCCATGTCTGACCGTCTATGGTCACTGGACCATGTAAAGAAACTATGGAAAGAACATACGGGGAAATATCCGGTTGAAACCTTTGAGGACCTTACGAGTTTCGTGCTGGGAAACATCGTGCGTGGGGGAACAGCACTCTGGGAGGATGCGAGGAACTTGCCGGGAACATGTGAGGATCTTGCGGAGAACGTGAGAGGGGAATATGGTGACGTGTCGGAAGCATGCGAAGAATATGTGGGGGAACATTCAGAGGTGGGGGGGGGGCGAGTGGATCCCGAATTATGTCCCTTTAAGTAGTATTCTTCAAAATAAGAGTCTGTGGATTTTTTTCTTTCTTTTTTTTTAAGATTTGGTTCTTGTGGGTAGTCCCACTCTGGAGGAGAGAATCGAGTAGAACGTCGAAATCTATGGAAAATGAAGTTGCCGCATCAATAGGCCAGTTATGACGCGCTTGTATTGCTTAAACAAGTAGTTCAGGGGTTGACCGTTCGAAATTGTGATCCAGTATAAAGCGATTTTCTATTCTTTAAACAATCTCTTCTAAGTGAGGATTGATCTCACAGGTTCAGCTAGTGTTAATTTATTGCGGAAAGTTTTGAAATACTTTCCTTTCTAGCCGTGAATTCTTTCTTCCTGTTCATACCCTTTGTGCTTTCACAATGAGTCATTTACTTATGGTCGCAGGCCGCACCGAGCTTGCAGCATATCTCTTAGTGTTAGGTTTATTGTAGACGCACCGCAAGCTAAACGTGGGAGGTATGTCAAGTATTTAGAGTCTGTGACTCGAAAAATTCTCCCGATTTTTTAAAACGAATATAATAATAGCAGTTATAAATAATGGTTGTTATAAATAATGGTTGTTATTCACAAAAACGAATCGACTTCTGTCAACAACAGATGCATTAACTAGTTTAAAATAAATATTGTATTTGAGTAATATCAACTTATGGCTTTCTCAGATTGTATATTCATTTCATCTTTCGTTTGTCAAAGTACACAATGTATGTCTCGTACTATCTCAAATTCAGAAAGAGCTGATAGTAATATTTCTGGTCTGTAACTCAGAATTTATTTTCTGTGCTCTCACTGATTTGTGAGAGGAAATAGTATATCGCATAGCCTTGCCATTGCCATACGAGGCTACCAGCTAGAGCCGAGTGCACCAAAGCTACTCGGAGAATTTGTCAACTCATCATATTCTAGTAACGCAACGTTAAGCAGGTCCTGGTAAAGCGTGTGATTTCTTCTTAACTCTCGGGTGAGTAGTAAAAAGAAATTATTGTAATTCTGCAGTGTCGTCTTTTATTGTTTTTTAAAATTTATTTTTGTTCGTCAATAGCCTTTCAAGGGATTTACGAGCATGAGTAGTCGTCAGGAACATTGTTGGATAGGTCATCATGACATATGAATGGTTTGCAACTCTAAATAGATTATTAATTAACTTTAATTTGTTTTAGATTTGAAAGAGGAAAGGCAATGGTCGTTTTGAGGAACGGAAGAGATTAAATAGTTTGAATTTATCTTTAGGAAATCTTGATTTTATAAGTGGATAGATAACATTTTTTAATTTAACAAGATGGAAATTGTGGGTTCTGACTAAACTGTGGTTCAGACTAAACTGCATATCAGAGTAAATGATTTACTACAATGTAAGAGAAATCCTCTTTTACGGCATTAGGGAGCCACAAAACGAGTTTTTCTGTTGAAAGAGTGTTACTTCTCACCGCAGAATTATGTCTCTCTATATATTATTTATATTACTATGGATATAATATGTACGTATACGAGACAGACGTATATAGTACAAACATATTATATTATACATTACGTATACGAGAAAGTGCAAAAAATAAGTGTTGTTTTCAAAACTTTCATAAAACGTTATAGAAAACAGAACAGAACTTCGATTGCAATATTCAATTTTGGATGCTTTGGAATGGTATTTATTACCTAGGATTCGTGCAATATTTAAACTTAAAAAAATTTAAAAATTGATTTAAATCGATGCTTATTTTAACTCTGAGCTGTGAATTATCTGGTTTTTTACGGACGTGGCTACCACCCGGATGTCCTTTAGTGATAATTCTCCTGGAAAACCGCAATGTTCCGCGTCCATCAAACAAAAACACAAGTTGGGTAATTTGTTTTGTAAACATACTCATGGAGGTTTCTTGAACAACTTGTAAGATTTTAAACCCGTATAGATCCTTGTCACCCGTAATATGTTCAGCCGTTGGTTTGTAACGCGTAAATTCCATGACGCTTCGTATCATTCCAATAACAGTTTATGATAAATTTGTTCATTTCTGACATAATATTTACCATAAAGAAAACATAATTTCATATCACTTTCTCGTATATGTACGTATATA